TGAAATCATATTTTAAAATTTTAAAATTATTTTAATATATTAATAAATAAATAAATATTATTTTAATATATTTTCTAATAAAAAATACTTTAAAAAATAACCATAAACATCCTTATAAATTGTTATTAATTTTTTTATTTTAAAAAGACGTATAGGAATATTGACAAGGCGAAATGATTTAATTTCATTAATCATTGCAGTTCATCTTGAATTGTTGTTAGTTTTTCTTTTCAACTTCAAACCATTTATTTGCATGGCATTTTACTATGTATTAGATTTTTTTTGTAATAAATAAATAAATACACAAGCTTTATAAATTTATGTTTTTTTTTTAAAAAAAAATCTAAAAGCACATTTATACAATTAAATACATTGAGAATTATCTTGTCATCAATAACAAAGTGTTACCATATTTATTCAACTCGTCTTATTGTAAGTTGAATATTTTTTTTATTCAAAAAATTTAATATATAAATGTTATTATCGTGTTTTTTGATATCGAGTAAAAAAATAATTATAAATAAAAAAATTAATACTTATATATAATAAAATATAATAAAGAGTGATGTATACATGCACATGTTAATAAAAATATATAAGATCTCGATTTTTTTTTAACATGGTAAAATAGTATTGTAGTTTTTTTTTAAAAAAATGTAAAGAAAAAAATAAAAAATAAATTAAAAAAAATAAAGATAACAACAAAAAAAAATAGTATAAATAGACCAAATATAGAATAATAAATACTCAAAATGTAAAAAATAAAAAAATATTTTTTTTCAGAAAACAAATGTGTAAAGAAAAAAAAGAGAAACTAAAAAACGTTAAAAAAAATGAAGATAAGAGATAAATTAATGGCGGTAAATAGGACAAATATAAAATAATAAAAATGACAAGTACAAAAAAAATATAAGAAAAATATAAGAAAAACTTGTTTTTTAAAATAAAAAAGAAAATTACAATTATATCATCTCTACATGAAACCCACCATTTCCTTTTAGTATTTATATAATATAAATACAAAAAACTGAAAATTATAATTTTACAACCATTACTATGAAACTAATCAGCAAAATTTACAATTATACTATTTCTATAAAAAAAACACACCATTTTCTTTTACTTTTAGTATATGTATAATAATATCATTTTCAATTTGAAATCCTCACTTCTAATAGAAGAAAAGAGAAAACAATTGCTGAAGTCGGCGTCTTTTTGATACACACATATATATATGCTGAGTTGGTCGTTAAGCAAGCTACACAGGCAAGCAAAAGCTGCACGGATACAAAGATAGTTGCGATGAGGAATGGCACAGGAGCAACTCAAAGAAAGGTCTGGACTAAATTACAATGCCATTCCTCACTTCTAAGTTTTCTGTGCTTGTTTGATAAATGGATACTGTGTAGTAATTGGCTTATATGTCAGTACTGTTATAATCAATGCATGTCTAACATATGTATTGTTCCTCAACTTTGTTGTCGGTAGGAAAGAAAATCAAGGGATAGAAAACTATCCAGTAGCATCAAAAGGATAAGAGCTGACATGGTGGAGATCAGCAAGGGGCATAAACGTATTAAAGAGGGGCAAAAGGAAGTGAGGGAAAGATTTGAAGAAATAAGCAAAGAGGCTGCCAAGCTGAAGGAGGAAACTAATCTAATCTCCAAGCAGAGCGCTGCAAATCAAGTCCGGCTTGATCTTATGTTTCAGATTGTCAAAGCAAGATCAGAGAACGATACTGCCAAGGACGCCTCACTGACGCAAACTTTGCGGTTTGTGATTCTCCAAATCTGTGTACCCTCCTCCGTTTAGTAGTTTTTAGAATCTGTTATCACGATATGATCACTTCTAAAACATGAGCTGTAGTATTATGCTTCTTCTTCTTTTTCCAGAATGATTTGATTTACTAACGTTTTCGTTTGTTAAATATTATGTTTCAGGGAACTAATGGCGAGCAAAAGCTAGCTCCCGGAAGATAAAAAAGAACAAGATTTAGCACGTTAACCCTGTTTCCGGGCTCCTGCCGCTTGCTTTTGATTATTGCTTTTCTAGTACGTACGTAGTACTATTTACAACGAAGTTATACCACCCCCCCACGCCGACGAACCGTCCATGCAAGAGATTTTTTAGATAAAATCTCTTTATTCCTCAGTTGATCCATATAATTGATGAAAAACGATTCAGGATTTTATTATTATTATTATTATTTGTTTCTGTACTTGTTTTTATTTAGTTTTTTTTTTAAATCTCCTTTCTAGCATTTTTCTCCCTATTTAATCTTGATGATTTTATTTCTTTAGAACTTTTATTTTTTCTTATTTAGTTTAGGATTATTAATATAAATAGGGTTGTTTAACTTTTATTTTAATAAATCACTTGAAGATAAATATATTCTGTAATATAATCTTGAATCAGTGATGTTGTGTGGTAATTCTATATGGTAAAATTTTATGTTTTTTTGTTAGAAAATAATGTAAATTATATTTTAAAATTTCAACTAATAATTTAAACTATTAGGTTAGGATGATTATTTGATAATTTATGCCTACTATCTTTCTTATATATTTTTTTATTTGCATCAATTGATATCATACATAGTTCAACTATTATTAATGATTAATATTATGCAATGAAATAATCATAATTAGAAGATGATGCAACATGTAATGCGCTTGTGTAGTGGAAGATAAGGAGGTTCTTCTTTCGAAAATAGATGATAAAAGATATATATATATATATATATATTAAAAAATTAATTTATTAATTAATAGAGATAGATAATTTAAAGGATTATGATGAGAGTGATCATAAATTTATAACTAATTTCAAAAAATTGTTTTAAGGGTACAAGTGTAACCTAACCTTTTAATTGGGACGAATATATTATTAAAATTAATATTTTTTTAAAGATTTTAGTTTTTTTATTAGAATCAACTATCAATATATAATGCTTATTTTAATGATAATTATGATATTTATTTTAAGAATATTTATAATATTAATCATGACATAAACAACTACAATAATGAAAGCAATTATGTCATCAATGGTTTCTTCGTGGACAGGGTAAAGGTTGAGTACCAAAAAAAAAATGAAATATACTCAATAAAGAAAGTTATTGATTTAGATGGCATTGATCTTTTTTGTTATAATTTTACTATTATTAAAAATACAAATTTATTCAAGAATTATATGGATAGAAGACAAAGCAAGTTTGAGGTTTTCAATTTAATAACTTGTCAATTGATATAACATTCTATTCTATTTTATTTTCAATTCATATTATAGTATTAGCAATCATTTCATTAATTATTATATGTGAATTTAATATGCAAAATATTTTTAAATTTATGATAATGGATATTCAATAAAAATAAACTTATTTTTTTATTATGATTTTTTAACAAATTATTTTTCCCCTTCAAACCGTGTTAAGTTTTTTAATTTAAAAATGGTGCTTAAAATAAGAATAACATGTTTTGTGAAAAGAAATTCATTGATAATGTAGTTTAGATTAGAAAGATATATTTTTCTTACTTATTTTAAGTTAATCATTTTTTTATTACAATATCTATTAAAATTTAAACTGTAATCTTTCATATAAATATCTATTAAGACAATAAAAAAAAACTGTATAAAGATAGATTTTAAAAAACTTGTACGCGATTGCGTGCATCGATGCCGAAAGCCCTTTGAGTGTTTACTTGGCCAAATCGATGTTCTCTACAGATTGTGCTCTGCTCTATCACACTCCATAGGAGAATAAAATAAACATATCAAAGATGTACATCACTAAAAAAAAAACTAAAATATATTACAAAAAAATATCAATTTTATGTCCATTTCCAAAGTTAAAATATTTTAATTATTTAACGGAAAAGTCTTATACTTTAATTTTTTTAAAAAGAAAAAATCAGTTTAAATGTCACAAATAGTTTAGATTTTAAATTTAAATATTGTTGCACATTTGACATCACTAATACTTTTTAAAAAGTATAAACAACAAAAGGATGGTTTTATTCCCCAGTTAGTCATGATGAAATAAATTACAAATCTGTTGCTCGAGTATACTGAATCATTTACATCAGTGGCAAGCTGCATCCATTTCAAAAGCATGTACATAAGTTCTGAATTCTCTGTTTGTTCAAGGTTATCTCATTCTCAGCATCTCATAACATATCCCCTGCACTCGAGATCAACTGGTAAATGTTGTAGAACGGGTATGGTCCCTGATTTGGTTTTTAGCGAGAATCTTGTGGCGTACATTATGAATGCACAAGCATAAGGATTCTTTGGGTGAGCAAACGCTTTGTTCAGATTGGTTTTTGTTTTATTCGGTTCTGTTTTTGAAAACACAAAGCAACAATTTATGAAATACCAAATTGTGTGAACCACCATATCTCAGTTCGGTTTCTGCTTTTCAATTTTCTCTTCATGTAAACTTTTATTATTTTTGAAAATTAAAAATGGAAATGAAAAGAAAGAATTTCCCTTTTCCTTTTTGTGGTTTTCAAACTGTACCAAAATGAAAATCGAATTATTGAACCATAAAGCAAACCGAATCATGGAGGTTCAGTTTGGTTTTCCAGTTCGAACCAGTCAGTGCACAGCCTTAATATTAGGAACTGTATCTGTTAGTAAAATGTCCCAAACCTTACTCTGCAGGCGCTCATAGGAAAAATTGGAAATTATAAGGTGTGGCTAGTAAAAGAGCGCCCCTCCTGTTCCTGTTTTTAATCCATGTCGGATACGCCAGGATACATCAACATTTCTGAAGGCAATGGTAGACCATTATCATTTATAACTGACCCGATAACACCATTGATGTGTTTTATTTCTCATGGTCCTATTCTGTGACCTGCCTTAATGGTGGGCATGACCTCAAATTGTCTGCATGGGAGGGAGTTGGGTGATACAACTTCCGCAAGATGTTTGAAGGCATCACTATTGTTTAGCTGCCATTTTTTTTCATTTCTTTCTAGACTGGGCAACATGGTCGTTGTTAAAACAGTCTACGAATGATATCTGCTGGCTGGCTGTTCAGTTGAGATGCTAATTTTATCAGCATTGTGTAGAGACCATCCGACTTAGAAAAAGCCATTTGCAGCATGGTTTCCATACGCAGCAGTAGAGCGCCTGTGGTACCAGCTTGAGGAATTTATTAATTTGGGTCACATGGTTGATCAATATAGCAAGCTCAAAAGCGTATTGCATGGAGCTCTGCAGAACCACCTCAAGCAGGTAATCAATATTTCTTTTAAATAAATGATTTACTTATTAGTAGAAAGTCAAGGTAGCAGAGAGGTGTGAAATGGTTGCTACCCAAACAAGGACAAATATGGCAATTAAAATCTTATACGGATAGAGAAGTGCAGGTATATATCATAGCACTGCCTCGTAAAAAAGAAACTTTGTGAATCTTTTGGTCATCAACCAACTGAGGAAAGAGAATCAAATTTAGCAGAAACTCCTTGCTGTTTAGGATAAGATTTTGTAACCGCTGTTTTGTGTGAACTGCATTGGTTGTGTCCAGGTGAAGATTGACTCTGAAGATTCATTATCTGCTGCTACCTGTTAAGAAGCTTTTGGAAGTAATGGTCAATAGAGCATAGGAAACGGAAGGATCTTTCAAAAGATTATGAGCTGCATAATCAGTAGTAAAATCATGGCATGTACTGGTAAACCCTAAATTCTGAGCACAATATATTTATCGCGTTTGCTTGCCCACTGGCTGGATTGTGTTCGGGGAAGAGATGGATGCTTTTTATCTGCACATGCATATACACACCACTTGGCTGGCAGTTCTATAAGCCGTTGAGAAAATAGAGTTAGATGAAATTTAGTTTGTCAGAGCCTTGACACTTTGTGCGGGTATTTTGGGATTTGTCTTTTCCATGATGTTGTAATTTGCAACTCTGGTTTTGCTTACATGTAAACCGGAACAGGTTCCTGGATTTTGTTTTTCCTGTCATTCATGGTTGTATATATTTTTCTGCTTTTGTTCGTGGGGACTGTAAAAATCATGAGGTTCCAAAAAGAAATGAATAATTGTAAGTTTACCTTATTGATCTCGATAACTTTGTTGGGAAAATTGATTTCGTAGGCTGGAACTTCTAAGTTTCTTCTCTGTATGGGTTGAGATGATATATATATATATGGGCCCTGACCTAAATTTTTTTTCAATGTAAATTTTTTTGCTAAGCTGACACAAACATTTCTAAAAATCTAGATGGTGGATTTGATTGTGTTTATAAGTTTGATTAATTCAAATAATACAATAAAAAAATGCATTGATAATAAATAAAATAAAAAAATTGATTGTGTAAAAGGGTTAAAAAAAAAAACACTTGAGCTTGTTTGTGTTAGTATGTCAAATTAGTGATTTAATTGTAATATTGAGTAACCTCGTCAAAAATAAATTATAAAACTAAGAAACTCAATTATCAAATAATATAACATTGAAAGATAAAATTAAAAAAAATAAAAATAAAAAGTAACAGGAAAAAGATTTGATCAGTCAACTCAGATTAACTTATTAATCTTGTAATCAAGGACGTAATATTGGGATAACTCCATAGGATAAAAATTAAAAAAAAAACACACGATGATTAATTTTCAATAAATTAAAGTTTTAAAGAATGAAATTGAGAAAAAAAAATAAATTTAAAAAAAAACTTAAAAAAGATTAAAGTCAACTCATGCTTATTTTCAAAACTTGTGTAGCTAATCATGAGTCAGAGACTTACCTCATGGAAGACAAACTCTAAAAAGTAAGGAAGAAAAATTTCAAAATGATAAGAGATAAAATTAAAAAAAAAATTAAAAAAGATCCAAAAAATAAATAAAAAGAATGAGAATTGAATTTGATATAAAAATAATTTGAAATCAAATGTTGAAGGATGAAATTAAAAAAGAAAATAAATTAAGAAAAGGATAAAAAAAAAAAATAATAATTAAAAGAATAATAACCAAATTTGATATAAAAAATAAATGAAATCAAATGATGATAAGTGAAATTAAAGAAAAAAATCAATAAAAAATTAAAAAAATAAAACAATCAACCATAAAAAGAACAAGAGTTAAATTAAAAAATAAAAATAAAAATAAATTAAATAACACTTTTATATTTTTATAAGAAAAAAAAAGATGGCAAGACACTTTAAACACCGTGTTGAAAGATGGTATTTAGAGATAAAACGAGGATATATATGTTTCTCGAAAAGCTCAAGTATTACAATAATTTTTTTAATTATATTTATATTAATCAAAAAGCATATTTTTTTATTAAAAAAAAATATCAATATGAAAAGATAAAACAATTCTCTTATACAAGATTAATATTTTTTTAAATTTAAAGGCAATACATAATCTTTATAAGGGGTGTGATCATAAATTTATAATCTTTATCGGGGTTGGCAATTGGAAGGTATATGATTTTTGGGAGTTTGGGAGAATGTAGCATGTGTGTCCTTTTGAACTTCCACATGCAGGTTTGGACATCAAGAATGTATAAATCTCCAAATTTGAATAATTTAGACTCATATGATGCCACCATGGAGTGAGAATGACGAGCGCATGGTCGCTCGCCATAACAGAGACCTCTCTCCAGTGTTAAGAACATGCGACGATGATAAGATTGTATCATTCTCAAGTCCACCAAATACGTACATGTTTGAGCCAGATGCTCTTGCTGCCTGCCATTGCCTGTGAAGCATACACAAGGCATGCACAAAATCAACAATTGTTCTGCAAGCTGACTCCCTGTTTTGCTTCCTCGACGAATATTTTCATAAAACTCAGAGTCAATATATATAGCAAAAGGAAAAAAAGAAAATAATCAAATATAAATGTGCTCAAACGTCACCTAGGTAGGAGAACGTGCATTGCACCAGCTTCTCCCAAAAATCGGACCAGAGGTTTAAAAAACATTTTAAGCTTTGGGTGCCACAACCCGTTTCATAGGTTGGGCCATGGTCTTTATATTGTAGTTTTAAAATGTAAGGGGAAAAAAAAGGAAGACTGAATTACTATTAATCTTTTAAAACTTTTTGCCTGTTATTACATTGTATATTTAAAAGACAAAAAACTGAAATATTCTTGATCGTGATGACTGATGGACACTTAGGAGAAAATCATTCTACCCCACCACTAAGATTATTGATTTTTTTTAAGAATAAGATGATAATTAAATAATTATGGTGAATAATAATTTATATCCAAATACACGATGAATTCTCCATTCGCTTGAAGGTTTTTTTTTTTTTTTTTTTCTGTTGGTAATATATACAGGCGCACACACTTGGTTGCCCAAATAATCCGCTTAGTTAGTGGCTCTAACTAAGATTTGTTAGTTGTGGGCAATCATGGAAATTTCAAGCTCCAGTCCGTTTGTCCACTTGGAAAGGAAGATCCTGAAACGTTAGGACGAGGGGATAAAAAGAAGATTAGGTGCGTGCTTTTTTGGCGTGTGTGGGAAGCATATTCTGTACGCACAAATAATTCTTGCAAAATTAGCGTGTTTCAACACAGACGTGGTGGTGGCAGGGCAGCGGAGGGTCGAGGTGGTGGTCACTTTAAGAAAGGGTGACGTTGGTCCCTGCGGTGGTGGTGCATCATCCATTTATGACTGTTTTCCATTGCTCTGGAGGAAATGCTCTCTTTCTCTCTACGCACGAAAACGAAAACGAATGAAAAGGGTAGGTTCGGTTTGGTTCGGTTCGGTTTGGTGGATCAAGGAAGGAAGAACAAGAAGCTTCTGTTTCTAAAACACGCAAGCAGGCATTTTTTAATATTTTGTTTTAAGCACTCCTCTACTGTTACTCGCAACTAGTGGCTTGGCTAAACAATCGTTTAACCATTAGGCCTTTGAATTTTCACTATACAACTCTTTCTTTTCTTCTCTTCTCCCAAGAACAAAAACCAACAACATAGAAATATCAAACTGAGATTTATTTTTATTTATTTTTAAATCCTCAGTTTTGTTCTTGTTCTTGTTTTGTCAGTTTTCTTTCTCTCTTCCAACGATAAAAACAAACAAAGTATACGAGGTTGTCCGCCACATCTCGGACCGGCTGCCAAAATTACTCAGATTACCTTTCAACCCAAGGTAAAGTAGCTTATCATTTCCGTGTTTAATCTCTCTTTGAAAAAAAAAAGAATTTTTTTATTTTGTTTTTACTATCTCTCTCTTTATGTGTGTGTCTCATTGTTAGCAAAAGAGGAAATCTGTTTACTTTCTTCTCTTGATCAAAATAAGAAGAGAAGAAGATTCTTCCGATTCCATTTTCAGCGCAACTTATTATCATCCCATGAACAATTCCATGGATGAATTCTTAAATCTAGAAACAATCTAACTCGGCTTCATCCTTTCACCTCTCCTTACATTTGATGGGTTTTTGTTTTGTTTTTTCAAACTTATGAATGAAGATGGCAGAGACAGCGGTGGGGTCGCGTAAAGACAGTGGAAAGTTGGAGCACAATGTTAGGGAAGATAGCGAATATGTTAGGCTTGTTATATCTGACCAACCAAGAATTGGTGACTTCGACATTTCACAAGTTCAATCGAGAGCGAGGGTTAAATCTTTCATACGGTGGATCAAAGCTTTAATTTGGTGCCTTGTTATTGCCATACTAGTTCTTGTTTTCTTGAAATGGGGTGTTTCATTTCTTTTTGACAAGGTACTTCCTCATTTCTCTCCTTCCCTCTTGTTTTTACCCCTTTGCCTTCCCTGCATTGATGCTGTCTCTGCACCTTTAATAAACAACTATTGCATTAACCGCATCCTGTTACTTTTTGTTTTTGGGCTGATTTGTTCGAGATGGTTCTTCTTTGGTATCAAATTAGATTCATGAATACAGCATTCTGGTTGATAAGCTTGATCGAGTTTGGCTAACTTAAGGATCAACTTGGTATTTTAGTTTGGTTATGCCAAAGGTTAATCGATTTTGTTGTAGGTTCTCTTGCCAATGATGGAATGGGAGGCAACTGCCTTTGGCCGTCCGGTCCTCTCTCTTGTGCTTACTGCTTCTCTTGCCTTGTTCCCAGTGTTCCTAATTCCTTCCGGTCCTTCCATGTGGTTGGCTGGGATGATCTTTGGATATGGTATTGGTTTCGTGATAATCATGGTTGGAACCACTATTGGGATGGTCCTGCCCTATTTGATTGGGCTAGTTTTCCGTGATCGCATCCATGTAAGGCAAATGATTTTTCACTGATATAACTTGGTGTTTAAATTAGATCCTACTTCTGCATCTCCATCTGTGCGAATTATCTCCTGTTGAATGTGTAGCAATGGTTAAAGAGATGGCCCCAGAAAGCTTCTATGGTTAGACTTGCTGGGGAGGGAAGCTGGTTCCATCAATTTAAAGTGGTTGCCATCTTTAGGGTTTCACCATTTCCCTACACAATTTTCAACTATGCAATAGTGGTAACAAGTATGAGATTTTGGCCCTACTTATGGGGTTCAGTTTCCGGAATGGTACCAGAAGCTTTTATCTACATATACAGGTCTGTTCCTTGGTTATACTATTTTTGGCCACTATTGGTTCTTATTCCAATGAAATATACAAGGAAAATAGATATATGGGAATATTTTTGGCCCCTCTCAACCTCATGTTTGTGCTTCGGTGCAGTGGTAGGTTAATAAGGACATTTGCTGATGTGAAGTATGGGAACTATCACTTGACTACTGTGGAAATAGTATACAACATCATCTCCTTCATCATTGCAATTGTTACTACTGTTGCCTTTACTATTTATGCGAAACGAGCTTTGAAGGAGCTTGAAAGGGCAGAGGCTACTGAAGAAGTTCTCCCCTCCCACCAAGAAAGTCATGAGATGGGAAAGCTTCCACTTGAAAGACCTAAGCGTGCAGGTTTGTCGTCTTTTTCATTATAGCCTGAATACGTAGGAGGAAAATATATGTACCTGTTGAAATTGATATGTTAGATGGCATTTGTAGGCTAGGTGATCGTTGTAACTTCCTTGTTCAGTTTTTATTTTTTTATTTGAGGGGGGTTTATGTTTGTAACTACAAAAATAGAATTCAGAGGGAAAATTAGGGGACGTAAAAGGTGAAACTTCTTAGCATATTTTTCCGTGCTTGTTTTCTTTCTTACCATTCAAGAAACAACTTTTTTGTTTATTATCTTCTGAATGATATTAATCTTATATTTTTAGTAAATACAGGGAAATAAACATCTCCTGGGTATGGAATAAGGCAATCATTAGCTTCTCATCCTCAAATTGTTGAGAATATGAGCTTTAACCTTCTAGAGTCATTCTTCAATGATGCTTGAGCTTTTCACCATTCATTGATGCATACTTGCAAAACTATTAAGAAAGCTTGCCATTCGGTAGCGTGAGAGATTAGATTCAGTTTTCAACTGGCAAATTTATGTGACAATAGAAAGAATAACAACAATGATCATGAAAGCAACATAGACATTATGTACCGTATGTGATCCAGAGTATAACAAAAAATAGGGTCTCTCAAGCTTTAAGATTACAATCCTATACTATCGAGAAAATTTTGTTTGATGTATTTTGAAATTCAATAATTGTTAAATTGTTTTGTTTAAACAAGTGCCAAATCGACCTAGCTATTAAAAGTAAATTAAATTAAAATTCTAAAACTTAATAGGAAAGGAATATGAAAATAACTAAGAAAATAAAGTAAAATCTAAAACATTAATGTGGACTTGTTCCTAACCTGGGGCTAGTGGATCAATCCTATATGGAACGAGGCTTGTAGAAAGTTTTAGATTAATTTCAGTCTGATTCAATAATCAGATCAAAAGTTATTCTTGTTTTTTTTTCTTTTTTTTGGTCATAAAGCATGTTTGATGCGTCTAGATTTCTTTTTTAGCTTGACTTTGGCCATCTGAGATTTATCCACTAAATGTCTCACATATGTTGCAAGAAATAAGAAATAAGGCTGCAAAATCACCTGCATCTGATTGAGGCTTTGGTTTTCTTTTATTTACAATTAATGCATTCGGTTCAGTAGGTTGTGGGGGATTTTAGGTGGTATGAAAAGAGCAGCAATGAATGGCAAATTACCTGAAAAAAGTGAAAATAATATTCACAGAAAAGGTGAAGTTATGAACAATGGTTTGGTTGAATGATGAATCTGCTCATATTTAAGGCTTTAGGAGATGTAAGTGGGCGTCCTTTGTTTTTTTCTTTTTGCCAAACAACCAAATTTCAAGATGCAGGCGCTTGGGTTGCAGAAGAAAGCTTGCCTGCACTGTGAGCCGATTCTGTGGCTATATGCTCCGTGATGGTCGTTTGGGTCCCTCGCGGTCCATCCTGAGCTTCCCAACCAAATGCTAACTGCACTTCCTCAACGAACATGCCTTTTTCTTGAACCTGGTGCCCATCTCCACTCACTCAGATACCATCAGCAAAAGGGAAGAAGATTAGTTTCAGAAACATTTCAATCATTAAAGAGCTCAACGTGGAACTTGGTGTGTACGTTCACCAACATGGGATACTACAGCATACAAAGGCAAGGTGGGGTAACTGCATAGAACTTGAAAAATCAAACTGCATCCACCAAATAAAGCAATGAGAAGGCTCGTTTTCTTGGATAATTAGGGAAGAAACAGAAAAAATAGAATCATAGCAAATTCTCAAATATGTACTGATTTCCCTTCTGGAATTACTCCGTAATAAGCCTTGGCACGGTGTAGCCCGCTCTTTCCATGATGTATGATCCAGACGCAACTTTACGACTCCTATTGCGACCTCAGACTTCATGAGAAATTTGTTTTCAGAAAATAACATCCAAGAAACATTTTTCTTAGGGACAAATTTTAGATAATCTAAAAATAGTAGCATGCTTGATTTACAAAAGAGCATATTTTAGTGTAGTACTGCAACATCCTCAATTATGTCTCACAAGCAGTGATACAGTTGTTTCAAGGTAATCCACTGCAACCCTGTGCACTTTATCTATATTTTCTGGAAATATTTGTAAGTACAAACTTGTTGTACAGGAGAGATTGGGAAGAAAAGGATTGAGTAACTTTCTTTTAATTTTTGTGAGGCTTCAAACAATCCACCTCTCTTCAAGAAGTGAATTTCCAAACAAAAGTCAACCGCCCAAACCCTTAGGAACTTCGAGATTTTCATATGCGCCTGAAAACCTCTTACATGGTGAAAAACACCACCTCTCAGCTTTAAGGGACTATTTGACGTTGCGATTGAGGTGCTTTTAAAAGTTTTTTGTATTAAAAAAAACACTCAAGAAAACACCAATTTGATGTGTTTTCATTACCAAGCACACGTCTAAAAGCTGTTTCTGTTTGCTTAAAAATTCAGTTGATGCAGAAACAAGATTTCAATAACATAAATATAAATATAAAAAGCTGAGAATATTTATTGGAGAGGAAGAAAAGATACAGTGTACGATACCTGCATCATTTCGCACAGTTTATTGGAGAGGAAGAAAAGATACAGGTTCAGAAGCAATAACTTTTTTTATGCGCAGTGTACGATACCTGCATCATTTCGCACATTCATTTCTGCAATCAGTGGCAGTGTATGACTTTAAATTTATCTTCACTTCAGTTTCGGTTTTGGTCCAAATATGAAGTTTTTAAAAGAATAGCTTAAACATAGATAGCTGAGGATGCTCAATTTTGGAACCAAAAAAATTAAATATTGAAGGAAGAAAAACTGAACCAAAATATTTACGTAGCTCAAGTGTAAAAGATACGTACAAATGTAACAAACCTTTCCCAGTTTATGAAGAACGCGGTCAGCAAAATGGTGGCGAGAGCAAGAACAAAGCAGACAGCAGCAACCACCCATGTCGGTGTGTACTGCGGAGATATGGGCTCATCCTCCAAAGTCCGTGTTTCCTGAGAGTCTGGAAAAGGAATTTGAAAGTTGCCTGGAACATGAAAAGATTGCGAGAATGGGATAGTAGAAGTACATTCTGAGATTGGCTAAGGACTAATCAGAACTACAGAAGTTCTAGAAGGATTCTCCTGGAGTATGCATCTCACGTTCGTCACGTGAAGAAGGTTCCAATTTTGCTGTTAGCACACTTCAAAGTGGTGGCTATGGCCTCATCAGATTCTTTAACTCAATAGCAGATCAATGTCAATGAACACTGATTATCTCGTTTTTAGTAGAAGCTACATACGGCAGATGCCGCACATATACTGAAATAGTCTTCTTCGAAGCATAAATTTGATTGCACACTGGGGGGAAGAGACAAATTCACAGGGCATTGGTCATGGAAATCATCAAAATGACGTGGGCAACACTTGGTGGTAAATGTTCCAACCAAAACATGCACAGAATGTACAAAACTGAATCCACATATCCACGGATAACAATTAGATATGGGAATTGCAAATCCAGTAATAAGATATGTTACAACATTTAATCGAATTTATTGTTAATCAGTCTTTGAACTGTTGAATTCACATTTTTTTCCCCAAAGAATACAACGTTACATATCATACACATATACTAGGTATATCACAAAATCAGACAGACATCTCGGGTACAAAATATCAATTTCTTGATGATCGTCCAAGTTCCCAAGCACGTATACCCAGTCATCTTCACAAACTTATGCATTGTAGTCTTTCCTATGACCATCCTCCTTCCTTAAGTAGCACCATCTTTACCTCCCAAGATGTTCCAAGTCCAAACTCTATTGCAGAAAAATCATCTCACCAAGAAGCCACACAGATAATCAGCTGTGGCATCTCATGGTTTCCAAGGTGCTGGTGGTGGTGGAGGAGTTGGAAACATTGGGGGAACTGCAGAGAATATGGTGTTCTTGTCAATCCCAGTAGTTTTGTCACCAGACAAGGCCACAAGTGCTGCAACTAATCCTGCATTTCCAGCAATCGTTGGCTCTGTATAATTATAGTTGGAGCGAACATCATGGAAACCATCATGCCTGTCAGGGCCAGCAACCATGGCTCCAACAAGTGTATTTGGGTTTGGCTTCGAGGTGTCCCTCCATTTCCATCCTCCTTTACAGTTATACCTGACCTTGTTCTTAGGGATAGATGCACCTCTATGGTGGAGATGTTTTGGGTAATGATTGCCAAAACCCACAATATAGCTCATTTTACGAGGATTTTTGCCCAGGATGTAATCAATCTATCACAATAACAAAGCAAAAATGAAGTTATAAACCACCAAAATTATGAAAATATCTACTATAGAACATCAAATTAAATTGGGCTTAACATACTTGAGTCTTGGCAAAATCACGCAACACATCAGTAGAGTAGAAATTTGGTCCACAATACCATCCAGGTGTATCAGCAGCTTCAAGATAATCACTAAATAGGGTTGCTAGGAAGGCAGCGTTGACGACATACTGAAGGGGCTGCGGCCTCCCATGGTTTAACTCGATCAAGCCTCCTATAGGACATCATCAACACAGTTAGACTGGGATCCCAAAATTAATCCATCCACCTTAAACACTATCAGGCTAGTCATATGAGAGATGGTTTACCTTTTGTTCTATTAAACTTTGTGAAAATTGGCAGATACGAGCACATGATTATACTGGTCTGGTTGTGAAATGTCCTCAGTATTTCTTCATATGGATAACCAGGGCTCAAGAACAATCTTAGGCGGCTCAAAAGTAGCTATCACACATAACAAAATTTAATCATCAGGAAAGATACCATAAATTTCAAAGCTAACTAATTGCAAGCTAGCCACAATATGATTTAACAGTAAAAGTAGAAGCACAAAAATGTCAACAACACCCTAATGGGAGATTATTGTTGACAATTCAACATTTGGGCAAAATGTCAATGGCAATTCATTAGGTTTCAAACAAATGAATCGTGAAATAATCAAGAAAGTAGAAAAGAGTACAACGAAGAAAAGGCAAGAGATAAATTTACAAGTATAGATACAATTTTAGAATTTTGAAAAATAATAATACTAATAATAATAAAAGCCACATACATACCCTGGGCCAAATTTTGTTGAATATGGATAACTTGGAATAAGATATCACTTTGTTAGTAGCAAAACAAGTACTTAGAGGAGCCCATAATTCTTACTTGAGTGTCATATTTCAAGGATACGCCTAATAATTTAAGCTATTGGATTGAGATAGTTAAGCCTAATTGACCAAAAGATCCTGAGTTCAAATCGTAGGACCCCATTCTTTCTTCTATTAATAGCACAGGACCCCATTCTTTCCTCTATTAATAGCACATGGGATTGTGAACCTTTGCAAGTTTCAAGTCCAAAAAGATCTCACTTGAGAGGGTGTTTGAAAATAATATAAATTATATCTTGAGATCAAGCTTGAGTAAGGCCCCACGAATTGTTTTAAATTACTCTCTAACAAGTATCAAATAAAACCCATACATATGCATAGCTAACTTAAATTTCAGTAGCTTTCAAAATCTAGAATATATCAACTCCTAAAGAAGCTCAACATGTGTGTATATTATACAGAAACAATATAAGATATTTTAATAAATTCAAAGCAAGAATAGAGGCATCGTAAAATTAATAACATCCCAAAGGAAAGTTAATTGCATGGCTAGGTAAAGCATGATAGAATATAGATAAAAAGCTTCACTAACCTGAGCACCGGCAAGCTTGTTGTCCCAGCTAAGCACACCATAGTCTGGCCCTCCCCAAAATGCACCAGCATGCTTGGCTAAGCCAGGCATTGTAGCAAGCTGAAGATAGGAATTATTTCCAGTTGCATAATATAGCCAAGCTCCACCCCAAATAAATTCATCCCAGTAACTAGTTGAATTATAGAAAATGGCGGCTTCTGAACCACCTGCACTGTATCTACCTCGCTGGTCCCTCGAAAATTTAAAGAGAGTTTTGGCACCATGAACAAGCTTCTGAGAGTACGCCTTGTTATCTTTGAAAACGATAGATGCAGAAGCTAAGGCAGCAGCCATTTCTGCAGCAAGATCAGAGCAGGAGCTGCATTCAGTTACAGGTCTGTCGTAATCAATGTCCTCAGGACGCATCCAGCAATAATGATCGTTTGGAGTGGTACTCCCACCAGAAGTATCCCCCGAGCCAACCTGTCAGGGAGTGGAAATCAAAATGTCAGGCCATATACCATACAGAAGATCCACAAACAAAGATAACAAAAATAATTTGATGACTGGCACGCATTGTTTTAAGCATCTTAAACTAATTAACTAACAAGATTATAATGCGATGATGGCCAATGCAGTAGCTATAAACAATCTCCACTTTAGCATTCAAGGATAAGCAGGAAATTTTCTATGCATAAGCAGAAGTTGATTTTTCAAGGAGAAACCATCAGACAAGAACTTGCTCAGTAAGTTAGAAAGATTGAGAAAAGCCCTAACCTCCATGAAGTGCACCAAGCAAGATAATGTTTTCTTTGCAAAATCAAGCATCATCAACATTAAAGTGAACGCGAGTTATGAAATAAATTCAGTCCAGATACATTACATCTATGTTTATATAAAATGAGAGAAGTTAATTCACCTGTGCAACTATTCTGTCGATGGTATCAGCAGTACTATTAAATGTCTTCAGAAAGTAGTCAGCTCCCCACTTTATAAGTTCTTTGACATGGTTAAGCTCACCAGCAGCTTCATATTTCGCACTATATTCTATAACACTCCAGCTCAACATTGTCATCGCAAAAGAAGCAGGGAAGTGAAACTTGATGGCATCCCCAGCATCATAATATCCACCCACCAGATCTTTGTAAAAACTACCTTGTTTACCTTTCCCATCGCTCAAACACGAGCTTCCCCTCCATGACACGTTATTATGTTTGGGAAGCTTTCCCGCTGCAATTTTCCATCAAAATACACAAACATAAACAAAATCAAGATTATTTATTTCTTTGAATTTATGATCATTATCAATAACAGCAGCAACAGTAACCGAAATTAATGATCTGAATCCGTGCAAGTTAACGATCTTCTTGAATAATTCATGATCTACGGGATCACATTCAAACTAACTAAAAAGAAAGAAAGATTGTCTACTTTCCTGAATATGGATGATCTGAATATAGTAAAATTAAGTAAATTCATGATCTGGGTTTGTTAAGATTGATGATGCATGTTCCTTAAGCAGGCATAATCCTAGACCCATTGAAAAAGCCTCTCCTCCTCCTAGCTAGGAAATGAATTTTTCTTCCAGATTTAACAAATAAATGAATTCAAGAGGCACGCAGACATCAACTAACCGAAATCAGATCAGATCAGATCAGGATTAAAAAAAAGGAAAAGGAAAAGAAACATACATCTTTGAGCATTGAAGAACATGAGTGCCTTATGCAGAGCAAGAGTGTAGTTATCAGCTGGAGCATGAGAGTGATGATGGCGAGGCACAGTTTTAACAATAAGAGTAATAAGACCAACCAATAGACCGGCAGCAACGATACTCCCAACAGTCCACACAAAGATCTTGCGACTAACAATGATACAGCCCAGATCCACATATTTCTTCTTCTTCTTTTGCTCAGCTGGACCCAGCAACCAACTCTGCTGAGTCTCATCCAATGGCCTTGACAGAGCTGCCCTGTCTAAGTCATTCAAGTTCCTGCTCCTGTCATCATCTGTTGCTGAATCTGCTGCATTTATCTCCAGGGGTCCTCCCCATGGATCTCTTCCGTACATATTCTTAAGATCTCACCCTTTCTTCTTGTATTGATTTAGTAAATTACCTTACCTTTGATTCTCCCTCAATTCAAGAAAACAAAAACAAAAAGGCAGAGAACTCGAAGCTCCACCGACACTGTATTGCCAAAAAGAAAATGCGGGCTGCGTTACTCTCTCTCTTTCTCAAGTGTGAGGAGGAGTGATGGAGCGTGGGATGCAGGAGGATCTTATGAATGGTGTCCAGCGGAGACTGATGACGGTGGAGAGTCAAGCAGTATCATATCATGTGAGAAACTTGGGTTGGGTTGGGGTTTTATTTTTATTTTTATTCCACGTTTTTGCTAACATTTTTAAGTACGGAATTATATTTATTGAATTTATTAAATGTGGTTGTGAGGGTGACCAGTCCGCTACTAGACAAGGACAGCCTGTCTGTCCACCGCTGTGTTTCTAACAGCTAAATCTGTGGTGTATTTCTTTCTTTCTCACTCTAGACAGTGGGCCCCAAAAAACCCACAAAAAGAAGAAAGTAGAGTTTGGTAATGGAATTTGCTTTCCAAGAACTTCAACCAGTTCACATGGTATTTATTAATCCATAAAATATTTTTTAATTTTTAAAAAATTATTTTTAAATAATCTAAAAAAATAAAAAATACTACTTTAAAATAAATTAAAATTTTTAAATCCTAAAAAAATAAAAAATATTACTTTAAAATAAATTAAAATTTTTAAATCTAAAAACGAACCGACTCATTAATTAAAATTATCTATATCACCTCCAATATTGGGAAAGAGAGGAGACTTCATAATTGTTTGCAAAGTGGGGATTGGTTTTGATCGTAATTTTTTAGTGTTGGTGAATGAAAAGATGCCACCCAACTAACGATGGTAAGTAACCCCAATTCCTCTCCCTGTTCTAAGCGGACAGATCACTTTTTATTTTTAATTAAAGGTGTCCGGTTTATTTTATTTACATCTCAATTAATTTTTCAGGATTTTAAGATTAATAATTAAATAAATCTTTAATAATTTTAAAATTTATAACATGTAAAATTAATAATAATTGAGCTACACCCGATAACGGGCAAACTATTCTAGTGTACAAGCAATACTATAGATAGATCTGGCCGGACATCCATGCTAATTAAAAAAATAATATTGTAGATGGATCACTGTAGCCAGTTTGATTTGCATGGATTCGAAGAAATTATCGTTTATGCACATCAACAAGTTAATTTTGTCCCCTCAAGCTGTGTAAACTGTTGATAAACTACAACAAGATGCATAATTAACTACAAATATACAAAACTGGTGGTGATTTTGAGCAATTTTTCATTCTTGGAGGAGCAATCTGCAAGAGAGAGAGGGTATGGTTTTAGATGGGGGCATCCTCCTCCTCTATCTGACCACCAGTTACCCTCTCCTTTTCTCTTCGAGAAGTCTCAACCAGAACGTTCGCCGACACTTTAAGCTATGCTTTCCTCCCTTTTCACGCCACTGCCCTCTCCTCCTTTCTTCTGTCTAGTTTGGTTGCTTTGCTTGCGTACAAAGTGTGTCCGTTACTGATATGGACTTCCGTCTATAAAATTTTTATAACGATGTCTTTTAATATAAATTATATTTTAAAATTTTATTTAATAATTTAAATTATAAAATAAAATAATTTTTTATAAGGTTTAGAATTTTGATGATAAATGATTATTAATTCCAATTATATTATTTTTATTTATTTTATAAAATTAAAAAATAAGTGAATTTCTACCAAATATAGAAAATTTTTGTTTAAAAAAATATATTATAAAATAATATAAATTATATTTTAGGATATTATTATTTTAGATTATAATTAAATTTTCAGAATCTTACATTGTCTTATTTTCACTGTAAGTAAATTTTTTTTGAATTTTAAAAATATCTATAAAAAAATTGATCTTTTTCTTTAAATTATTTGAAAATAAAAAAATAACTGTTACTCACATGGTATCCTAGACCATCGTTATCCTGTCAAGAGACGAGGCCCATTAATCATCGTGTTTCACAGCCAATCCGGGGCCCACCGAGAGAATATAACGTTAATTATTTTGGCGAATTATTAATATACTACGATATTGTTTTGACATATGTTTTTAAAAAGGAACAATTTTTGGCAAGCAGAGGAGGATGCTTGTGCTGCTGATTGTTCACTCATGCTCGCTAATGATTGTGTGTTTTTCTTTTATAAAATATGGGATTTTTAAAATAGACTAAAATCCTGCCAGCTACTACTGGTGTTCTGTCCACACAGCCACTGAATCATCATGTTCAATCTATTTGCATCGTTCAACATATTAACTCCTTCGTAAAATAATTTTTTATAAGGTTTAGAATTTTGATGATAAATGATTATTAATTCCAATTATATTATTTTTATTTATTTTATAAAATTAAAAAATAAGTGAATTTCTACCAAATATAGAAAATTTTTGTTTAAAAAAATATATTATAAAATAATATAAATTATATTTTAGGATATTATTATTTTAGATTATAATTAAATTTTCAGAATCTTACATTGTCTTATTTTCACTGTAAGTAAATTTTTTTTGAATTTTAAAAATATCTATAAAAAAATTGATCAAGATAATTTTTTTATAAGGTTTAGAATTATAAAATAATATAAATTATATTTTAGGATATTATTATTTTAGATTATAATTAAATTTTCAGAATCTTACATTGTCTTATTTTCACTGTAAGTAAATTTTTTTTGAATTTTAAAAATATCTATAAAAAAATTGATCTTTTTCTTTAAATTATTTGAAAATAAAAAAATAACTGTTACTCACATGGTATCCTAGACCATCGTTATCCTGTCAAGAGACGAGGCCCATTAATCATCGTGTTTCACAGCCAATCCGGGTCCCACCGAGAGAATATAACGTTAATTATTTTGGCGAATTATTAATATACTACGATATTGTTTTGACATATGTTTTTAAAAAGGAACAATTTTTGGCAAGCAGAGGAGGATGCTTGTGCTGCTGATTGTTCACTCATGCTCGCTAATGATTGTGTGTTTCTCTTTTATAAAATATGGGATTTTTAAAATAGACTAAAATCCTGCCAGCTACTACTGTTCTGTCCACGCAGCCACTGAATCATCATATTCAATCTATTTGCATCGTTCAACATATTAACTCCATCGATGACATTAAAACTTTAGAAAAAAAAGAATAGAATAAAATAAAATAAAACAAATCCTAGCCAATATACACCACCCAAGGAGAAAATAAAATAAAAACGTAGCACGTAGCGTTGTAAAAGATTTTTAAATATCCATTCTAAAATTAAAAAAAAAAAGTATCTTCTTAATCCCTAAACATTTTTAAATTTCTTCGTATTTAAGAACAATAATGTATTTAATGTCTTTAAACCTTTACCAAATTTTTTTCATTTGTACTCGTATTACAGCTTAATACAATTTAGTTTTCTTCAATTAAAGTGAAAACAACGCACTTTTTTTTTTGGAACTGTACTAGTTATCCAGCACTTTTCTTTTTTGGTACCTGCTGTTTTCAGAAAACTCTCCAAAGATTTCCTTTCCTATCTTGTGTGAAAAAGATGAAAAAAAAAAAAATGGAAAGAAATTCTTCTTTTCTTTTGATATCCACGTTACACATCATTAGTAACCTCACAATTCTAGTTCTTTTTATTTCAAAGATATCGAAATACAGAGACTTCACCATGAATATTTAGCTAAACGGTAGCTTCTACGCAGGATTAAGATCCCATCTTATATATGAAATGCATTCGTTCTAAAATTATTAACGAGTAACAAAAATCAGCGATAAAGGTGATGAAATAATCAACTTCAACATGGCTTTCATAGCTTCTGCCTTGTAATGCTTGAGATGCGCTAAAAACATCCTTTGTTTCTTTCCACAAAAACTTCTTGTAACACCAGAATCTCCAACAGGACTTCCCTGGCCTCTTCCATTTTATCTTCTTGCATGAGATGACAGGTTCTCCAAGGATGTGAACATGAAATTCCCAGAAAACATTGCTTCTTTGTCTGCTCAATCAATTTAACAACTTAGTCAAAAGGCACAGAGAGAAAAATATGTTACAAATACAAACCCCCATTCCACTAGTTTACCGCGAATCTTAATAGGATCACATTCAAAAACTGGGATGTACAAGCCCCCGACAAAAGATGTGACAAGAAATTGCATTTGCATTTATATTTATATTAGAATTAAAATAAATCAAAAGTTCACAAACTACGATGCTGAAACAACATGCAAGTTGGAGGGCCTATGGTTCACCTGGTGTATGACAATAAAAGTAACACAGCTTTTGAACAAAGCGCCAATCGTGGTCAAAGCTAGTCACCTGGTGTATGACAATAAAGGTAACACAGCTTTTGAACAAAGCGCCAATCCAATATATCCAAATGGATTGATGAGAACTGTGAATGTGTGCGTGTCGAGCATGCTTGTGATACCAAAATTATTTGGAGGTTCTCAAGAGTTCAAACTATGCCAAGCCGATGCTCAACTTAGCGAACCACTGAGTATATCAGCAGTTTCAAGATTCTTGCAAACAAAAGTAAACTTTTTTGGCAATCTAGAGTTAGCATGAAAATCCATCCCTCTTTCCTGAAAAATTTTCCATCTTCCCAGGCATGTTTCTCACCAAATATTTAATTTGGCCAACACATGTTCTTCCATATAGCAAAGCACATAAATTAACTTTATGATCTATAATATGCCCCAACAAAATGACATAAGTAATCAAATCATATCAGTGAAAGTACCAGTTAAGGAAAGACAACTAGCTTCATGGCGCACATACCTGGCCATTGCCTGCAGTTATCAACAAATTAATTAGTTTCTCTTTGCATTCATTGAAAAAATAAAAACCTTCAGATAAAGATTTTAAAAGAAAATGTTGTACAAATAGAGCTTCTCGTACAAATGAACTCTTTCATAACCATCATTTTATACTGATGGACGTGTGCCAAAATGCTGGGCAAAGTATGGTCCAGGATAGATGACAACAACTCATTCAATAAACTGAAAAATCTGGATTTTAACCCAGGCATTGCATAAAATTGTTGTTCAAATCAATATATGAATAATGTGAAGAGGGGAAAATATCTTGATAATTTTATTTGATGGAATAGGAAAAAAATAGAATTTATTACACCTTAATGCATAGAGAATCAGAGTATAAAGACACTGATATTGTTAGTAAATTACTAAATACAATTTTTGTACTTTAAATTTCATATTGACTTTACCAATGTTCAGTTCTTTCTAAATTTATCTGGTAAGTTCTAGCAATTCAAATCTGAAAGTATACTTTCTTTTCAATAAAATTTTTATAAAAATAAGACATAAATATATATATTTTTAAAAAGAACAACAGAACTCGATCCATTGCTTAGCATGCCATTATTTAGCTCTCACATTCATGATCATGCACAGTAAGCTAATTTTTATTAAAAAATTTGTTAATAATAAAGAGTAAATTACACATTTGAAGAAGAATTATTTATTAAAAATAATTGATGATTCAATGCTTTGATTATTTTTTTAAACAAATCAATAGGATTTAATATTAGTACAGTAACAAGCTGTTTAATACTAAACTTTCAAAAGGAGATAAATGTTAAATTACATGTAAATTGTATTGCGTAGAAAAAAATAAAAAATAAAAATAAATATATGCCTTCAATACATTAACTATTTTACGATAAGAAAAACTCATAATTATACTACTAATTAATGCCTTTAGACGGTTTTAGAATAATATTTATGATAAAGCTACCAGGATATTATGGCTTTGTTTATGCTACCCTAAGGTGTTTTGATGAAAAGAGAAAGAATTAAGTAATCTCTTCTCATGCTCCCATGCTTTTGATGGTAGCCTTCTATTTCTTATTATTACTTTGAATTATATTTCACCATACTTCATTCCCATAGTGATAAACAACTTTGACAGTCACAAATATGGAAAATCACTACTTATGGTTGTTTGGTGGCTTCTATTCTCAAGGAATACCTAAAAACTCAGGGCAAGAAAATCACACAATTCATCTAGTCTTATCACAATGAAAGAGCAGAGATGAGAATATGCCTGGATAGCCTGTGATGCAGTATCATCTGGCTCAGTTGTACCATCATCTGAAAAGACATTCCTGCGAGACACAGCTCAAATGCATTAATTATCATCACCTTTCTTCATCTTGAGTCTTTTTTATGCTTTAATATATATATATATAAATATTGCATATTACCTAATCCAAGCACATTCATTTTTCATAGTTTACATTCATATAAAAATCGGTCTCTTAGGAGGAAAATATTCAAACATAAAGCCTAATAGTTTTCTGAACTTGAAAAGCAGGAATTGATTCTTTCTGCTCACATAAGGGATGAAAGAGGTCATCTTGTGTGTGGCATTACTAGACATTTCTCTTCTTTATAAAAGAGTTAAACCTTATCCATCTTGGAAAGTTGATAACAATTAACCAAAGCACTACAAAAAATTAAAGACCCAAATATGAAAATATAATAATAAAGAGCTCCTCGTCCTTAGGTAATATCTTTTCCCAGCGACCAGTTCATTTTTTAAACTATTGACCACTACAAGTCATTGTTTGTTGACAGGAAGAAGAAAACAAAACTTCCAAAATATAGGGATACTTTTCCACAAATTACCATTAAAATTAGTCCCATTCTGACCTCAAACATAAGCAGTATCCTAACCAGATAGTAGTACTTTCAAAATAAAGAATACTTTTCCCCAAATTATCATCAATCACCACCAGTATCAAACTCGTGAGAAAAAACTAAGGCCATGAAGCTGATTAACATAAGGTGCAAGTACCAAACACAAGGGGCAAGGAGGTAGTCGGGACATTGTTTAGAACAGCTTGAGCTCAGCACAAGTTACAGCACCCTGGCCAAAGATCAACCCAGTCTAGACTCAAACATAAGCAGTATCATAAACAATTGGAATGCATAATATTGAGATGATTTGAGGATCTCTCGAATGGCCATTTACAAATTACAAGATTTTCATTGGAAGATAGAAACATAAGGATTCTAGCACAGAACATACCCAAGTCATTCTACAATACTATTGATAATTTTCAATGAAAAGCCTTCACCAAGTTCTGATGGCGGTCTTACCTCCATATCACCTTTGGAAGCTCATCCGGTTTAGCCTCAGGAAGCATGGCAGCGTCATAAGCAACAATATTTCCATATAATATTTTCTCCAATTCTTTCATCCATTTGGTCAGAAGCAAGTTAACCTGCCATTACAAATGGGCATAAACAACGAGCAGAAGGGTTTTGATTACTTCATGAGTCATTTGCATTAACAGTCACCCATAACCCAAAAACCACAACCATAGGCAGAGCTTCCCATCCTACACGTTGAAGGGCAATGTATGAAAAGCAGTAAATAACTTTGGGTTTTACTTAGGAACTGGAGTGGCATTCTAACAATGGGACACGTAGTGACATGGTCTCCACTTTCAAAAGCATGCACAATTCAGAACAATTTTGTGTGGTTTTCACTGCATAGGAGAAGATGACATCAAGGATCTAGTAGCATATGATGACTGATGGTTACTTTGACCATCAGATGACAGAAAGCAAAAGGCTTATTTACTCATGTTTTCAACATGAAATTTCTGAAAGTTTCATAAGATAGCCAGGTAAAAAGATAATCTTTCGAGGCAACAGGATAACATTAACAATGCAATGATATGAAACGCAAATTAAATAGACACTGTACCCCTGCTTTAGATACTCTCAGCTCCACATCATGATTGTAAATCTCGTATATGTATTGCCCGAATTCAACACCTTCTTTTCCCTCTTGTTTCAATCTACGTAAGCAAAGCCACATGTGGAGCACAAGCAATGAGAATGTCATCTTAAATGTCTTCTCCAAGTTGAATACTGCATGAAAAAAGGAGGATAGTAAATTCTATACACCACATAATTGAAATGTATAGCCCGAATTCTAAATGTCTTAAAGTAAACAAGAGCATGAGAATTTTCTCACCTTCATAAATGGCAGGTCTATCTACTTGTGACACAATTCGTCGGTACACCACATTAGCTCCTCGAATAGACTTACTTTGTTTACTATAAAATAGCAACAACTTGAGCACAAAACGCCTAATTCCCTCATACTCTGGCTCTTCGATTCTGAGTGGAGAGTCCGCAGCCAAAGCCAAAGAACAAGGCTTAGACCGAAACATTTTATCCAAATTCACCTGTTTAAGAAAAACAACACATCAATCCCCATCAATACGCTAACTTGATATCATTCACAATAACTTCAATCCCGCAGCCCCATTTTCATTCTTGTATCATTTGAACTGGATAGAAATCAATCGTGAACAAAATCAAAACTTTTCTTGACATTAGCAAAGATGCAAACGTTACCAAGTGAAACGCACGCCCAAATCAAATACAATACACAAAAACCCATGATCACAAAATCATAAAAAGCTTAAGACGGTCAACAAATTAAAGGAAACCCAAAAATGGGTTAGCATTAGAATCTCATACATACCACTGAATTGCTTGGGAAAACCTTCTGTGACGAGAGAATTGGAGAAGCTGCCATTGCTGCCGCTGTGGCAGCCTTGGCATAGCTTTGGTGTGAAATAAGTTTAAAGGCAGCATCTTTACTGTTGTTGTTGTTTCTGAGTTGATGAAAGAAATGAGAAGAAGCTGCTCTGCTGCATCTTGCTAACATTTTTTAGCTCCTTTCCTCTGTATGAACCAATTAACTTTCTTTTGATTTTTCTTTTGATACTTTTCCGAGTATCTGTGTTTTTTTTTTTTTTTTTGTTCGATTTCAGCGCTGTTACTAAACTGTTTAGTCTAAACGGCCTAATTCATTCATAAACCCTTCCAAGATAAGAGATCAAAGGTGGACCCAACGCTACCATGGTTGAAAACGGCAGCATGTTGTATTTGGGCTGTAAAGGGGTATTTTGTCACAAGCAAAGTTTACTAAACTAATCCGGTCCATGACGTAGTAAGAAACGCTGGCTAAACGGTATCATTTTAAGTTTTTATTATTATTATTAAAATGATATTGCATGAAAGAATTTTTTTTATGTCAAACCGGTTTTTAACTCATTTGAGTTAAACTATGATCTTGACTAGGTCACTGGAATCCTAGTATCTATTCTTAAATAGCTTTGGAACTATACTATTGCTTGCTTTAAAATGAAGCACGCTATATGTCAAGTTAATTTATTTTTTTTTAATGTAAAAAAATATTAAAGTTTTGCTAACATGTTTTTTAGCTACAATATTTTTTTAACATGAATTCAAAATTTAAATACTGAGACTATATATTGAATAATTTATTTTTTAAATACAAATACAATGACATATTATATTAAGACATGTTATTTATTTTTTTGAGTCCAAACATTTTTTTTTTTAAATCTATATTAACAAAAAGTTTTGAACTGTTACATAGCACGATACCAGTCTACTGCAATACCAATTAACTTTAGTGGTAAATAACTTTCACTCTGAAAAGGAAAAAAAAAAACTAGAGAAGATGGAGATGGTTGCAGGCACAAGTCAAAATGGTTTCAACACTGATGATTACTAGCGATAGGTAAGTATTGTTATCAGTAGTGGAGCACTGTTGATTACTCGCATGAATGAAGTGAGTAATTCTGGGCTTAGCCTTGAAGTTAGCATGGTATCCACCATTAACAAAAATCTTGCTGCGCCACCTAGGCTCCACGAATTCGCATTCGGCACCCTGCTAAAAATGAAGCCGGAAAAAAAGAAACAAAAAAAGACGAGGTGTAACTAAAAAGTATGGAGTGCAATCTTGGATATCTATCGTTTACTGTGTTCGATGACTTTCCCGGGTTGGCCTTAAGTAGGCATGGAAAGGAATGCTTAAGATGAAACTGTTATTTCCTTATTTATTAGAAGTTAAGAACGAGTACTCATTATGAAGTGAGTTGTTGTCTACTTTGGGAAGTAATAGCTTACAAAAACAATCACTATTTTGATATGTTTTTAAATAAAAAACACAATTCCAAACGCTAAACCTGTATTAGTTTCAAGTTTCAATTTGAAATTTGAAAGCTACAACTACTTTTTCAGTGAAATAAAATTGCAGATAGTTACAAAAAAGTAGCGTGATTCAATTGGATTTTTTTAAAAGTTAAAAGAGCTCATCCATTTGTCGATGCCCTTACGAAAGAGTTCAGTCTACTTAAGGCACAGCTAAATTGTCGGCCTAGCCGTCAAGTCCTGAAACTCCCATCAGTTCAGATTTCTTAAGCTGTATATCACGTTATAGATATGGCGACATTCAAATAGAAGCAGAATAAAACTTTCAATACAATGGCAGTTAAGCATTTCTCACTACTGGTAAGACCTGAATACTGCAGGAAACCATCACTGGGCAACTCATGGCAAAACTTTCCTCAGCCACTGTATTTCCATATTTTAAAAGACATGAAAAGAATTGCTTCCATATATAATAGCAATGCTGTTTGTACAGCGATACAGACAAGTATCCATGGCTTGATAACAAATTTCTTGCACCCCAAGTACTCAACACCATGGCTCTGTAGACTAAGCAAAAGATTAAGCTGGATGGGTGACCTAAATCTTCTATAAATTCAAAATTGTGATGTGCCCTTTCCCTCGAAACATAACATTACATACATTAGCTCAGCATAACTATATCGTATTGGGCACTGAATAAGCAAAATCAGAGATATTGCTGAAGACTTTCACCACTCATGGACTCCATTTCCTTTAGAACATCCTGGGCCAGAGATTTAACAGGTAACTCCAAGTCCTCGAGCAATTCACCAAGGAATGGGATGGTTTCAGGCAGGAAGACCAAATATTCTTCTTTCAGGTTATCCATAAGATATTTAACAATTCTCAGTCCTAGAATTCGAGATCGTATCTTGTCACTCCGAGTTTGCAACAATACCTGCAAAGTGACAGCAAATTTGGTTCTCATTGCTTGCTTGAAGAATTTAAATAGGCAACTCTGAATTGAATGGAAGACATAAGAAAGGAGTAAATATATCTCTGATGAGGGAGGGAAGGAGGGGAGGTTGGCTCAGATTCTCAGGTGGGTATAAAAACATGTGAGCAGGTCAGAGAACGAGGTTCATGCAAGGTTGGAAGCAAGTAAAAGACATGAAAATAAAACCATAGCCCATTAATAGCTTTACCTCTTTGAGCAAACACTAAAATAAAACTACAACAATTGATCTGTTTTACTCGATTTATTCAGCAATCCAGAACAGGAAAAACTTGCAAAAAATTAATTGGAAACAAGATTAGATAACTGTAAAAAAGAACTACTGGCAACTGCATTTTTCTTTCATTGGTAACGAATGAACTCCTAGATCCCTCATACTTCAGAATATTGCTTGTATGCATATAGAGGCATATTTCCATTGGATCAGATGATTAAGGCCAAAACTCATCTTGCATTTAGCATGTCAACAGATAAACATCCAATTTGAGGCCCACCCCAGAGGATTGACACAAATGCATGCAAAGAAAGAAAAAAACAGTTCTAGAGATCACCTCATGGTTCAGGGGCTTCCAAAGAAGATCAGTTCCTGCAGTAACTGCCATTTGACCTATACAAACTATCAACAATTCATCAACTTCGTTAACTGATGGGATACTTGGATGCTCTTCCAGTAATGCTGGTGGTTCGACTATAAGCTGTGATACAATGGGTTTCAACAGAACCTACAGATTCATGCAGGTATAAACCAGTTAAAAAATGACAGTGAAGGAATGGATGCAAAAATAATTCAGTCCTTGAAAGAAATTTTTGTTGATGCATAGATGAAGGGGGATAGTACCACATTACAGTCTCACATTCAAATTACTTTGGGTACTTGATTCAACAAGAAACAAGTCCGAGTTGACAAGATGATATAATTAAAATTGAAACATAAATAATAAATTTGCTTGAACCATAATATGTTATAAAATAGGTAAATCTATTTGCGTATTGAGAATAACAAAGTACAAGTGAAAAAGTTGCACAAACAAAGGATAGAGATTTAATGATTTGCTAACCTGAAATTTTGACGAATCAAGAAACTTCCGGCTCCCAGTGTCGAACAAAAAGCATTTATGTAAAGCTGAAATAACCAAGGCCCTGAGATGCCAGCTTTTAAGTGTTAGGACACTGTTCTCTTTTATATCACTTCCAGCTTCCTGAATCTTAGCTTTCTTTTTCTTTTGAATCAAACCAGCACCTTTAGGCTTTACAATATTGGTAAGATACCGAACACAACCCTCTAGCAAGTACTCAAAGTAAGTAATGAACAGAGACCTGCAATTGAGATGACATTATTTAGGTGTTTGCTTCAACATCTCTTTTATAGAAAACTGGTATTCTGATACAACAAATCCTCAATCCCAACCTAATTAATTGGGTGCTGAGACATCAAAACAAGTAGAAAATTTGCATATCTCATAATAGCATTTTTAATTAATATGCACTTATAGAACACATTCAGAGCTTGACTCAAGTAAGTTATATTTCCTTAGCATGCAATAACCAAACAAAAGAGTCCTAAAAGTTCCCTAATGTTTAGATGGCCAAACATCCAAGACCAGGACCGATTCACTATAACACTAGCTGATAAAACAACGAACTTGTTGCAGAGTCATACAAATCCATCCAGGCAGGTGCATGTTTACGATTACAGTAAACATTAGGAATGATTTTAGCATGAAGTTGGATTAAAAAACACATGAAAACATGTCAAGATGTCATATGAGTTGTTGACCTGGAATGATTATAATTTAGAGCACAAATATTGATTGACAAAGTAGAGATCCATGGCTCAAAGTTCAGCTACCAACAGACAAAAATAATACAAGACCAAGAGTAAGACTAAGAAATCCATGTCAAGACTGAAAGTGAAAAAAGCCTGAATAAAACATGTATATATTGACTCACCGATGATTCTCAGCAAGTTTGTTTACCAGACCATAGAAAGATATGGCCCTATCTATAACATTGTCCTTACTGTCATTTTCTTCCACATATGACTCAGCCCATTCAATACTTCTAATAAAGAGCGGTTTAAACATGGTCTCTGTAAGTTTCATTGTCAGAGCAACCATTGAATTGACAATGCTTTTCTCAACTAGATCAATATTTTGAATTGAAACAGGATGTTGACGACGAAGATCAAGAGCGCGCAAGCAGAGGTCAAAAATGGTTTCATTATAACCACCAACAGATGATCTGTCCATTGTACCAACTAAGCTTCCAAGCATTTCAAAGAAAACTGCCAAACTTGAATCCCCAGCCTCCACGGTATCGGGATACATCTTCAACAACGGTGGAAGAGCAAGTCGAACCTGCATGGAAAAAATCAGTATTGATGTTACTTGAGCAACAACAGATCATAATTCACATTAATATCTGAGTTTGTCAAATCTTACAGGGATCTTCTCAGTAAGCAGCTTCCGTACTGCATCAGCTTTCTGTCTCAGTTTCATTTTTGATCCTGATGTGTACTCGGGACCATGCACCACGAGTCGTATAATATCTTCAAGATATGGATTTAGGAAACCACCCAGCTTGTCCACAACAGCTTCTAAAGCAAAAAGAATAGAGAGCATAAGAGATTCTTCAGGAAGAGACAACACAGCAGAGAATTTGCTAGAAGTTTTTATCATGTTCTCCATTATTTGAGGAAGCTGAACAAACGCTCTTGGCCCAAGAGCATCGACTAGAGCACCAGTTGTTCGAAGGCAGCTAGAAGAAATAGCCAAGTTGTTCGAACAAATGCCTTTTGTGACAGATGGAAGGCACATGCTGAAGACAGAATAATTAGAAGAAAATCTATGGGCCAAAACTTCCAGTGTAGAAACTGCTGACAGTTTCAAGGAGGTATCTGAGTCATCCATTGTATCATCAATTAGCCGAGCAATTTCCAAACACATCTGCTGAAAAGAGTCAAGGGTACTCCCATCCACATGGGACCAATCAGTAATTGAACTTGCAATGGAATCTCTTCTTCCCTTGTGCTGCTGAAAAGAGTCAAGGGTACTCCCATCCACATGGGACCAATCAGTAATTGAACTTGCAATGGAATCTCTTCTTCCCTTGTGCTGCTGAAAAGAGTCAAGGGTACTCCCATCCACATGGGACCAATCAGTAATTGAACTTGCAATGGAATCTCTTCTTCCCTTGTGCTGCTGAAAAGAGTCAAGGGTACTCCCATCCACATGGGACCAATCAGTAATTGAACTTGCAATGGAATCTCTTCTTCCCTTGTGCTGCTGAAAAGAGTCAAGGGTACTCCCATCCACATGGGACCAATCAGTAATTGAACTTGCAATGGAATCTCTTCTTCCCTTGTGTTTTGTTTTAATTGACTCACGCTTCTTCAATGTATCAGAAAGAAGCCCAAGAGCCTGATTGCAAGCACAGTGAAATATGTTACTAAAGAGTCCACCATTTAGCACAAAGGTAACAAGCGAGGACTTGAACGGAACACTTATATAATGCACATGCATGCCTGCCCATCCACACTCATAAAACAGGTTCGACATATTCAGTACATTTTTTAGGCAAATACCTACAATAATCATTTTTTTCCTTGCATTTTCCCGTAACACTAAAAAAAAAGGAACAAAGAGAGGCGGTGAAATTAACAGAAGATGCTTTCATTTCTATTTAAGAATTGGATATGTCCTTTCAGGGCCCTAGATGTCAGGTTATTGATCCAAGTCCAAAAAGAAACATAGAGATACAGTCCAAGGGGTGTGTGCGGGTGCACTAGAAACTCCTAAATACTGTTTGTGTGTAGTTCACATTGCTATGCACATCAATAGTACCTTCTTTTTCACATTTCCATCTGAATTGCAAAGCAAACTAATGATGCCTCTGAAGTATGCGGAGGGGATCATAACAGCTGTAGTAGACCTCAAAACAGCATGCATACACTCTTTCATTTCCTTTCTGACTCTGACAGGCACATTTATTTGTTTTCTTCTCAAATCACTTAGTTGTGAAAGGCAAACAACGTGCTCCAAAAGTTCTTGAAGGGTTTCCTGCAGGTTAGCACCAAAAGAAATCAAATCATTTTTACTAGGTCCACATGTGTAAAAATGTTCCAGTGTCTTTCTCCTCATTCAAATACCTACCGGATGATATAAAAACACAGCAAAATCATAGTTACACCAGAAGAAATCTAGATGACTCTGCTTATCATATGAGACTGAAAAGTTGGGATGTAACGACTATGTTCAACCTTCATACACATTACCAAGAATATCTCAGGTCAATAAACAGAAGGTGAAAGCTTCTGAGGTCCCTACATATGATATTACAGCAACTACTGAGACATGTTGCGTTTAGCATGCCCTGCAGTTCCAGAGTCAAAGGCAGGCAAAATTACCAGATGATGGCAAAATGAGAGGCACAGACCATTCAAAAATTTCCTCCAAACAATACTAAATTTATGCATTAAGTTTGTTTCAAGTGAAGAATCAGCAACCTGAATTTTATCTGAATCCTCGCTTGAATGAAGTTTGAATGAGAATTCTGGATCTTCTAACTTATGTAAAATAAATTCTGTTGCAAATAGCAATTCCACAAACATTTCTTGGCATGAATTGCCAGATCCTATTAGTTGAAGCAGAGGAACAAGGGAGGGAAGCCAAATCCTGCATGAATATTGCTCACATATCCGAATTGCAAATGCATACTCCCACTCTCTCTCTACAGAAGATGTAATATCATTTGTTTCATCAAGGAGGGAGAGTCCTTTCCTAGAAACTAAGGACTGGAAAAGAAGGGCAAGCAATGAAGCCAAGCTATTATGTTCACCCAAAGTCCTGCAGAGAAGAATTTGAATTTAACAAAAAAGTAAATAAATGAAAAGAGCTGATAGGGATCATAAAATTTAAGTGGTAAATAGGTAATACCTCAACAAGTACACAACGATTGACAGCCTCCTATGCTCAGCAATTTTGGGCAATACATTCACAAAAACCTGAAGACACAATGCAGCCCAACTCAGATAATCAGTTTCACAGCAACTACATCCAATGCACAAGAGGAGGAGAGCGCAGAGGAATAGATTACCTGGAGCAATTTGTCTGTGTTGCGTGTCTCGGCCAGCCAGCAGGGGACAACTGCAGATATAAGATCCTCAAACACATGTTGTGAATGGCTGTCAATCTGTACATGTTCATGGAAAAAAAACAACGATTAGCATGCAGCTCCATGCTAAGCAATCTCAATAATATTTGGGTACTATTTTATTCTAAAATTTCTTTATCCACAATAAGGCAAACAATAAAATTGGGTTGAAGCCACAACTTCCTCAAAAAAAGATGTGTTGGTTTGAAATTGTTCTACATTTACATAAAATTCAAGAGCCTCTCCTTCAAACAAATTGCCTAGACAGTGAATCACACAAAAAGAACTCACATGTCCGTGTGAGCCCATACTAGATGAAAAAAGGCATTTCACAAGTTGTACAAGACCTGTGCATATATGAACAAACCTGTGAAACAGTTGATTCTCCAGCAACGGTAAATATATCCAATATATACCCCATTATATTTTCTGGAACAACCTTTACAATGGATGATAACAGTGAAAATACATGGTTGCGGACGACTCCACGCTTAGCAGACCGGGCACACATGATCAACAATTTGATATTGATTTTATTTGTTATGTCATCCTGGAAAAAGGAACAAGCATGAAATCAAACAGGCAGAAACAGACACATCATATCTTTCCAACTGCAAGGAATTCAACATACCTTTAATGGGATAACATTTTTTAGTGAACTGATAATATCTTCAAGAACAAGTAGAAGTGTTTGCTGAGTGTAACAAATCGTGCTAGACCCAGTCTGGGAAACTCCACATGAAGCTTTGATCCAGTTTTCATCTTGGGCAGGCATCCAATCATCCGAAAAGATTTTCTCAACAAGTTTGAATAAGGGCCCTATCAGATGCTCCCTACATTCCATTGTATAAAATTTCCGAGAAAATACACACTTCATTATATTGAATGGTAGAGCCATCAATTATTGACCATAAACTAATTATGAAGAATTAAGGTACAATTATTTAAACAGACCTGCTAGCAATATCTTTCTTGAGAATCATTATGTCAAGGAGGGAGCTTAGCAAGCATAATGCAGTTTCTACTTTACAAACCACATCACCATCTAAGGTGGATGTTTGATGCACTACTGATTTCCTTTTCTTCTTCCCGGATGCAGAACCACCTATACGACTTTCTTGTTCGAATATGAAATTGATTGTATGGACTACCGTAGAGCAGGTAACCTGCATTATCCACAAATGTGGTAGTCAAATATCACAAAAACAGTTTGTTTTGCATGCAATCACATGTTCCAAACATCTCCAGGGAAAAAATCCCAAAATAGCATTAAATAAGCTAAAGAAAGCCAAAGAAAACATGCTAGTTGGCAAAATATGAGCAATCGAATTCAAATGGCCCCAATGTAATCACTCCCAGCTCCTTTGAGAATTTATGTCAACCATCAAGGTTTGCATGAAATTTAGAGTTTACAAAAGATATACCTAATTCAATCCAACGAATGTGAAACACAGACTCTTATCTTGTTCCAACTTAGCATGTATTAATAAATATGTGATCCTTAAAGCTCATGTAATATATCACATAACTATCATACGTTAAAGAACAACCCACAAGGTCATGGTTTTGTAAAACAACAAGGTCTAACACCACCAACTTCATACAACATCATACATTTCAGTTGTTATTGGCTTGATAATCAAACTCTCTAGCTAATACAAGGCTGATCAGCATACAGATGTATGTGTGCTCACAAAAGTAGCAAGAACCAACATTAAACACGAGGCCTTGTTAGTTTAAGCACAATCCACGAAAAGGGAAGAGAAAAACTTAAGTAAGCAAATAAGAAGAGAACAAACATTTAAGCGCATCAAGGCCTCTCTTGTTGCATTTTGTATATCACCATTAGCATTGCGAAACAAAATCACAAGCTCACGAAATAGAAGCTCCTGCTCAACACAAAAAAAAAAAGTAAATAAAAGAAAGCATAAGGTTCTACTCTACTTCATAAAAATCACTAGGCAAACCAACTGATTACCACATTGGCCTTTCATAGATACACAAGAGAAACAAAGAACATTCTCAAAATTGAAATATTAGAAATATTTTATGTGCACTTCATTGTGAAAGTTTCCTGGTTACATAGAACATTTTAGAAAGATATATGCAACTGCTACAGGCTATGTTTAACAATACAATTTTTTTTTTTTTGGACAGGTGCCTTTTCCAATTCTCTAGAGTGTCCTCAACTTCAAAAGACCTGGTCCGTCCTCCACACTCTACTTATTGCAATTTTTGTTGTTAAATAATGAAAGAGTTTTCAACAGATAAACATATTTTCTCCATCTTTTCCACTGAACAGTGAATTCCAAAAAAGAGATGGTCAATATCGATTTAAACTGGATTCTCAAGATAAATGCACATTCCCCTTGCAATGTTCAATTGGACCAACATTACCTTGAATCAACACCAATTTTAAAATAGATAACCCAGTGACAGCATGTACAAATATATTCTTCTGTTGTTCCACAACCCTGCTGAAAATAATTATCACAACAATGTAGCATGACAACCAGTAATTAGTTGTTCTAGTTTCAATTTGGTGCTCTGCCATTAAAAGTGTCCCCCTAGCAGACATCAAAGAGATAGATCTGGGTTTTGGAGTTTTAGCTTTGTGCCTGTCAGTAGTTTCTCATTCTGTTTTTAAGCAGGAAATCTCGCCCTCCTACTTTGTAGTATTTATTCCATCACTTCTAATAGAATTTCTTTTTCTTATAAAGAAAGAAAAGAAAAGGGAACCTGTTTTTCAGTTGTGAATCCACTGTATAATGGGGCACTTAGCTTCTGCAAAACAGTAATGCAAGGTTCTATAATGGCAAATTCTTCAGAAGAGAGCCCATCCAGCTGGAAGAACAAACAATAACAAGCATCAACAACAAAGAGAAGACAGAACCATTAATATCAAATTACATCTGTCCAAACAAGCTATAAACAGCTTCTTACTTGCAGGGCCTGTAATAGATAATCTTCACAAGCATGCCCCTCCAGTGATGGAGGCATGGCACAAACCTAATACAGGAAGACAATGGGATCGGCATTGGGCAAAAGAGATGATTATACCACAGAAAAAAAAAATTCAAGAAACATGTCTGTGCATTTACCTCCAGTAGAAGGCACAAGATCTTGACTTCAGTTTTGGACAATTTCTGGGATGACCTGTCCACCTTGAAATAATATTGACGGCGTCTTTTCAGAAGTCGAGACAGCAATGACTCAGCTTCTTTAACATGAAGTAACATGCTGCCCATTCCTTTAAGCAAAGATATAATCATCATCTGCCAAACGCACACCCAATCAAATGTTTTTTCCAACTAAGAAATCCTACTATTCAAAAGAGGATAATTATGACACCTGTACTGAGAAGTTTTAATAGAATAACTGGAAATGATAGAACAATCAAAGATCAGTTCAAGAAGGAAAAAAAGATGAAAATAACAGGGCAAACCTTTGCAAACGAGGACAGTTGAAGTCCAGACCCCAAGACAAAGGCAAGAATCTTTTCTTTAGTAGATTGATCAAATCTGAAATGGTATGTTAGGTAAAAAGTTGAGAGCAACGAACTCCTATTAAATAAAAATCAGTATGATGATCATGATGAGAACCATTACATCCTAAAGAATCTTACAAATTGAGCACAAACCAAAAGAGAATGATAAGAAAAATTGCTTGAGCTTCATAGTCAAGATGAAGCATTGTATTGGTTAAGAGATTAAGATATTTAAACTCTATGTCATTCTTAAGCCTGTTTAATATGCAAAAAACAGCAGTCACCTATGCTATAGCATTCGGCACACAATATTTAAATATCAAAGATACAGCATAAAAAAAAACTGACAAATTATTCCAGGTGCTTAAGGTATTGTTCAAAATAATTATATAGCATAAAAAGGTTCAGAACCCCAACTTCTGACTTCATCCACAAATCACTTAAAGAGATGGCAGAAGTGGAATGTTTTATTAGTCAATGGTAAACACATCAGGTCATTAGGAGAAAGAGGGAAGACTACTAGGGGGGAATGATAAGTTATAAAGATTCAGAAGAGGCCAGGTCAACTCATGCCAAAACAGCCAGACAAGGCTGCTTCTATGTCAGCCAAGCATCTACAGGCTCACCTTAGCCTGCCCTTACAATTTGCTAGCTTCTTGACATAAATCTATTGCAGTTATTCTGTGTGAAGGATCAAATTTATACAGAAAATTCGGGCATACCACCACAAGGGGAAGAAATAATACACTGGATAAATTACCTTTGTTCAACATTTTGTGGTACCAGAAGGCTATTCCTGGATGAGCCAAGCAAATAGCACAAAAACGAGGGTAGAAAATTACTGTCTGATAATATAAGCCTTTTTTGTTGCACGATCAGGCCCAATAACTCATCAAGAAAATGACTCCAATTTGCATTGTTCCCTGTTATTTATTCTGTTCAGAATATATCTGTACAACTGAGAAAGACAAGGACAGCCTATATGAAATTTAATATCACCAGAAATACCATTTTTCTTGCTTAAATAGTCAGCGCGCTGTGACAGAGCAGATAACCCTTCAATGCAGCCCATGGAAGCAATCCTGAGATCCTGAAATAAAGGCATTGGTCTTATGGAATCAGACCATGAATGTATATACCACTAACCCAGCAAAAGATTCAAATGGTAATTAGCATGTTCAAAACAATAATTAGAATGCATGAGAAGCATCAAAGAACCAAAAGGTTTGAGAAAAAACCTGGCTATCAGAGGCAAGAGGAACAAGAAGTGAGGGGAAATTCAATAGAAGCTGAAGCAGCAATCTATCGTCGGGTTCCGAGCAAAGGAATGCAAGACAATGAAGGCTCTCAACTTGGACAGCAATGGAAATGTCTGCAAAATGAAATATCCAGGATAAGAACATACCATTGCTGCTAGAGATTCAGCTCATTCAACAATTAGACAGCCATGGAACCTCAAGAATTTACACCAACAAGAAAAATCAATCCATCAAGGAAACTATTTGACAAACGGAACGGAGAAGCAACATAAAACAGTGCCAAAATGGTTCATGGGATGGTAACAGTCTTGATGGTGGGACCATAACAGAGTAATGGCACAACATCCTTGATCAGTGAACTGTATATGTATAACACCATTATCATGCAAATGAGTTACCAAATAGAAGAAGAATGTACCACCAGATTCAATAACCAGGAATCGAGAAATATCCATAACATACGGACAGCTTTCTCAATGGAAAGCGATACAATTAGCATCCTGGAACTAAAATCACACTATCACCATTCTTTTTTATTACAGTTCCAGATCGAATTGCAAAAGGAACGTGACTAATCATCAATGAGTTAATAGCATGTGCAAAAACAAATTAAGTTCACTTCAACACCACCTAACTTTTCTGTTTTCTTCTGACAAATTATATTACATTCAAGGATTTTTTACTACCTATTTCTCTAATTAAACAGTTACAATGACGTAATTTGAATTGTTATACAGCATTGAAGTGAACATATTCAAAACTCCATCTCAGCCTCTGCAAACTATATCCAGTAGGATTTCTGTAGCTTCTTCTCTATACCCTACCTTCCATCTTTCCTGTTCCTGCATCTCTCCCTTCCATTAAAATTATAAATCTTACACAATCCATACAGGAGTTCATCTTATTTCCTTTCTCTCAACCCTCAATATTTCAGTTCATGCTTTCACCCCATTATTCTTTCTATTAACAAGGAAGCATTAACAAAATGGCAATAAAGAAATTAGCTTTAAGGATTCAGCACAGAGTTATGCACAATATACTTCCATACTTCAAAAAAAATTGGTGGGACTCATTAAACCTCACTGAAGTCTCATCATCAATGGTCAGCGTACAACAAAATCAAGAACAGCAAATCTCCAAAAAGACCTCAATCCCACAGACAACAATTGAATTTGTGAGCATCATTGGAAAGAAAACAAAAGTGAACAAGTGAATAAAATGACAGAGAGAATGATAGGCTGGGAAGAAAGACTTGATAATCAGCCTTTAAATTTAATATGCGAGGAGAAACATCAGAAGAAAATTGAACCAAGCTTTAACTCCATAAATGAGCTATGAATGACTTCTAGATTAAGTAAGAATGATATATGGAGTCATGCAGTAAGTAAGCCAAAACATTACCCTCACTAGTGTAAAAACCAGACAGAAAATCAATAGGAGAGATCTTGCATTTTGTAACAAGGTAATGAAGATGCTCCTTGAAAAAATGCTTGGACTGAGAGTTCGAGAAAAAGACAAATAAATCTGTAAGTCTGCTGCTAATCAACTGCTGATTGTCCTCCTGAGAATGTAAAAATTAACATTTTCAATGATTGTCTTGTATCCAGATAAAAGTTTTAAGGATTCAAGAACTAGCCACAAAAAAATGCCGGAAGGGAGAAGGCACCACCAACCAAAAAATATATGGGCCTACCATTGAAGTAAAAGCCTCCAATAACCTCCAAAAGGTGCAGATTAGGATATTAATATTTAATGCCTTGAGATCGGTGTCAAACAGCTGATCTAGGAACCTTCCACAATCCCATTGAAGCATGTCATTATTGAACTGTCAGCAGGCACATACCAAAAAATGAGGGAATAGCACAACCAGAATCAAAATCAAACTTAGGATACACAGTAAGAAACCATGTCAACCAACCTCATTCCCAGAAACAACTGCAGACTGCAGCTCCCACTCAGTCTTCAGAAAAGAAAAGAAAGCTTCAAAAAGTGCTGAGAATTGCTCACTTTCTATCATACAAGAATAAAACAAACAATTCTTGTCACAGCATTTCTGGAAAGCAAAAGCACAAATGATATAGACACAAAATTGAAAGTGATAACAGTCACATTAAACAAGATATAAAAATGATAGTCGATAACAAACAACATGACACAAACCAAGGATTCAGCAATAGAACTACTGTAGGTTGTAGCATTGAACTAGTAACTGAAGATTTTCAGGGCAGACAATGTCCAACTTGGTGCCTGGCATAAAAGGGTTCAAAAAGAGACCTTCCGGTCAGACCTGAAGCAGATCCAAGGTCATGATATGGTGATATTGAATCTAAAACCTGTGCTGTCCAGCTCAGTGTTCAAAAAACATGCCAATATTAGTTTATAAATAGCAGTAGCTGGCATCTTCCACATTTCTGAGGCATTTGTCTAGGAATTTACCTCAATTTGGGAAAACTCGGCCCCCTAGACATGAAGACTGCTTCCAAAGAAAACATGTTTAAGAACTTTACATGCTTCTTGTGAAGAGCCTAGATTGTGAATTGTGCCGAGTTCAAAACATACAATATCATAACTATGTGAAACAAGCACCTACACAAAGTGAGCACTAAGAAGAAACCTCAACATGCTGATACAACTTTCCTAAGAACACTTGTACAGAGCTTTGGCATGCACTTCTATAAGACAGTCACTTACATCATTATAATCTGCCTTCAATCCTCCTAACTGTTTTGTTCCACATCAACAAATACATCGCACAGAAATCTTACTACCAAAACAGCAAGCCACTCAATAGAACATTCTTAGGGAGTAGCTGTACAATCTATTTAATTCTGATGCCATCATTTCTCTACTGCTGTTCAAATTCCAGGTTTGATATTTTTTTATTTTTTTTGCAAATTTCTATGCAGGATAAGTGATAGGTCAAAAGTGAAAACAACAACTAAGCCTCAAAGCCAAACTAGCTGAGGTCAGATATATGGATCCTTTTCTCCATTCAGCCCGATCATAAACCAAATGTGAATCAATATAGCTCAAACTCAAAATTAGGTCCAGTTTGGGGAGGTGTGGTTGTTGATAGAATTGTACTTCAATAACTAGCAGTTCATACAATTCAAGGATTGTTATGAGCCAAGGAAGAGACAATGTTCTTACAAAAAAGTACAAGAACAGAAAATGTTCTTATAACAGAGCAGAAACTTACTATTCTTTGGCCTAAGAAATGATTGCATCAGAACCAAGAGCAGAAGCGTCTTCGAGACAGTACAGTCACTGGAGCTGTCAACAAGCCAGGTCATATACTCACCCGGGTGCATTGAAAATGTTTCTGCCAAGCCATTAACAATCTTCATGTTGATCGAAGATATAACTTCCTGTCGTAATTTCTGAATTTTTCTCCAAATTGTAACATGCAAGTATTAGATGATACAGTCATAAATCAAACTTCATATAATGAAGTTACAGAAATGACAGCGGGAACTGAAAAGAAAAAAGAACTTCCACCTCATTTACCACAATTTTCTCAACCACAGAAACCTACTAGACACCATGAAGGGGCCTAAAGGTCAACATCCAACTAACACAGTGAGATACCAATTGATTGACCCAATAGCATTAATTTGTTTCAACAAATAACATCAAGAGTTCGTGTTGAAGAGATTTAAAACTTGGCAACTGGATAATTCTTGGATACCATTCTTTTCCTCGGCAAGATTAAATTATATATCCACTACAATGACGAAAAAATTGGCAGGTATGCAAAATTAAACACCACCGATAATGAATAAAAATAATTGGCTATATTATCAAGTTGAATCATGTCAGTAGAAAGCAATAAAAAAGAACTCGAAAAAACTTACCACCACTTCAGAGGAAACAGCAGTGAGATTATTATAAAATGGCCACTTCACTTCTTTCACCAAGTCCAAGACCTCCAAATTTAGCCTCTGTGTCTGCTTGTATAACTTGGAGAAGTCAACAAATAACATGGAAGACAAGAAGGAACCATATTGCTCGATTTAACATAAAAATAAGAGAAAAGAAAAACCTTTTGAAAAATTAGGAGAAGAGGAAACATCATGGCAGCAAGTTTCTTTGAATAATCAATCTGATCATGAAATGTTGAGACAGCAGTCTTCAAAAATGCAATTGCAACGTCATTAGCTAAAGCAGCTTTATCTGATGCACCTGCCAATGTCAGAAATGAAATAAGATTAGAAATTGTGCTAGAGCAGAAATTTGTATGAGTAAAACTAAGTTGTTCACAACCACTAAGGTTCAAACTAGTAGTCGAGTTTCAATTAGTGGAGCAAAAAACTAATATTATACATGATGCAGAATGAGGAGGCCAAATAGTCAATCAAATATACAAGAATAGGCATTATGAACTAGTCACACATACCTGACCTTAGGGTGCTAACACATTTTTTAAGCACGCCATCTAATGCTTTGAGAAGATCAGAAGGACTGATGATTTCAGACAATCCTTTAAGAGATAAAGCTGCTTGAACAACTGTTAGGTCATCATCACGAAGTTGGCAGAATACAGCATCTTGAATGGTTACAAGCCTCTGAATCAAATGCAAGTCAAAAGAAAAATCAAATAATTTTTTTTATGAATCAACCTGGAGGATGTAAGATTTTGACGGACAGCATGGTTTTAGAAGGATATCACATGTTATCACATTCACCAAATCCAACCAATACAGCACATAAGAATTATTACCCACTCAATCAGCATGTCCAAAAATGCCAATCAGAAGTTTTAAATTGATTTATTCAACAAACAGCTCTCCAAATATTGAAAAAATTGGGAAGTTGATAATGGGAAACTGATAGCTAGCAATGGAATAAAACTTCTGTGTTCAAGAGGTGCCTCTCCAGAAGTACATGTAAAGAGTTTTAAGGAATGCGGAATTAGGTTTTTGAGGGAGAAAAGACTAGCCTAAATGTATAACACCAGATTGCACAAAACATTATAGAAAAAGAAACAAAATGTTGAACATCACAGCTTAGCTTAAAAAAGATGATCAAAATAGGCTGGCAGAATGAACTTTGTATCAACTTAAGAAAGAAAATTGCATTTCTAGCATAAAAGTATCAACTATTCACATGAGCAGAGTATATAATTCCATCAAAGAGTAGAATAATGCACCAAAGTAACCAATTAAGGAAAGAAGCAGATCCAATGAGGCATTGATCCAGTACCTAAGAATTCAAGGATTAAAACTCTAGTAGTTGGAATGTCCAGGTTCAAGTATCTTTATCCCCAAAAAATAAAATAAAAATAGCTACTTATGTCAGGGATACTGTGGAGAGTTGATGTATCCACCACCTTTAACAGTGGCAACAATAAGGAAGAAATAAAATGAAATGCATCAAATATTACCTTTGAATCAACAGCCATGTTTTTCAGATCAACATGTCTGTTTAAACCAGACAATGTAGCACGCCGGACCTCAGCCTGTAGGAAATTACAAAAACATAAGGGTTAGCAATATGCAAAATAGAAACAACTGCCAAACATATCATATTCCACAAATGCAATCCTAGTGGATAATACCTTTGGATGGTGCAAAGCAAGCCAAATTTTAGAATCAGAGATGGAAGCTGACATATCCAAGTTGCCATCCAAAATTTTGCAAATCTCAAAAACTGCATCATCATTTTTGGATTGCACTTTGGTGTCCTATCAGGAAAAAATGGACCAACAAAACATTGAGAGAGAGAGAGAGAAACACAGATAGAGCAAGAGAGTGGGGAAGATAGGAAGCCAGTCACAAACCTCCAAAAACTTCTGAACAGCTTGATGAAGTTCAAATGGATAAATTTTATTAATAACCATCAGAATGTCCTTTGCCCAGCTTCCTGGGAAAAATAGAACAAAAGAGTCGTGATAAGTGGCACTGTCAAAAAAATAATCATGAGCCTAAATGGGATGGGTTCAAACAAGCAGCTCCAAACACAATAGAATGGTAAGAAATTGAATAGTTGCTGAACAGCCGAAAAAAGAATTAAAGTTCAAAAAATTCTTCACTGGTGTGTCTGCATAAATAGGTAACCCAAAAAATATTCCAGCACATGCGCAAGTAACATACCAGATTGAGATGATGATGGGTTGCTATTTTTCTGAGACATTTTCATGCAAGACAAGAGGACCTTTGAAACAACACGATCAACAAAATTCTTTATGGGAACTGTCTCCAATATGGATACCAAAACATGATGATATGTATCATCAGAAGAACTGTGAAAGAACAACGACAGGTTCAAATGCAATAAGTAAATGAAGAAATACATCTGCAAAACTTTTAAAAATCAGCACAGTTCACACCTGTTGTCAACCAGAGCTTCCAAAAGCACAGCAAGAAATCTATCGATATTGAACTCCTTAGAAAGTCCCATAAGAACCCCAGCTATTTCCCTTCAAAAAAGTACCCAAACAAAAAAAAAATAGAAAAGACAAGACAAGACAAGATGAGTTAATGACAAAATAGAAAAGACAAGACAAGACAAGACAAGATGAGTTAATGAAAAAATTGACAGCCAGAATATCTAAAGTTAACAAAATACTGATACAAGAACATAGACTTCATGCAGTTTTGCAATGCTCACACATTCAAGGCAACAAAAATGTACCTGGTTTCCTTCAAAATCTCCAGTACCTTCTTCGGGAACACATCGACTGATTGCAGCTGACAATTTTATTTTATTTTTGGCAAAATGATATGAGTAGATAAGAATGAAGGCAAATTATGCAAAAGTACAACACAAGAAAAATGTTTGACAATGGAGAGCCCGTTTACATAAAGGAGCCTCCACCTGACCAAGTAAGCAATTAGAATGATTCACAATATCCATCAAAATCATAATTTAAACAATATCAACTAGTTATATTACCTAAAGTCATTACTCTGTACCTCTCTAGCACAGTTTCAGAAACAAAGATGCACAAGCAAAGTAACTTGTTGGTAGCGTACACCAATGAATGAAAACACAAGGAGAAATGACAAAGAGAACTAAACCAAATCCAACTTTTTAAAAGCACTAACAGCAGCAAAAGAAAAGGACAAAATATGAAACGAACACTGCACAAATTGATAAAACATCAACAGATGCAGAAATCAGCCATTGAATTGACATAAGCACATTACTGACACAACAACATTAGATCACGAAATAGTACCTGAACGAGATTTATTAGAGCCATAACTGACAAACGAAACCATTGCAGATCAGTTGACTTGCTTGCATCTTTTGGAACTATCTCAGCAATTGATCGCATCAAACTTTTGACAAGTTTTGGAGACAAGGAAACCTTATTTGCTAAGAGACAAACAATCATCAAAGCAGCAGCCTACAAAGAGAGACAGACATTATACACCATAAAATTAAGAGAAAGAGAACAAGTCAAAAGAAAGAGATCACACATTGTCTTCCCTGACTCAAAAACAGCACTTTCAAACCTCACCTTATGATCTGAACCTCCTTTGCTGCCAGGCTGAAGTCCAGAAATAACAAATGGAAGGATTCTCTGCACAACATCTGTATTGACTGTTGTTATAGAACCCAATACCTCTATGACCACTGCTGTGCAAAAGCTGACTATAGGCCTTGATGGCTGGAACTTCTTTGCAGGAGATGCCTGCAACCAACCATTCTATAATTAAAACATGCACAATAAGATAGCAACCAAAAACCTGAGAGATGCAAAATAATCAAAACCCTCACATAGTTGCACAACGCCTCCAAAACTCCCATATCTCGAACACACTGCTGCACCATGACATTTCTAGGTGGCGGTGCACCTGATGCTTTTACACCATCTAGAAACTTCCATTTACCATTCCTACACCATATCCAGGATAAAAGAAGAGAAGTGGAAGAAGAAGTCAAAATTCCAAAAAACATCACCAAGATATTAGTATCCTTTCAATGACTTACAAAGAATCCATCTCCCCACCTTGTATCAATCAACTGAACTATTCGAACGAATGCATGAGTATCATGGTAAGGCAATGAGCATAAAATCAAATCCTCGAAATTGTATACATGTATCCTGCAAATTCCAATCATTTTCCACATTACAAAACACAAACAGCTAAATTCAACATAACCTTAAATTAAAACCTCAAACGATACTTACTTGTATCTTCGTATCAAGTACTCAAGTGTCCTAAGCGATGCAGGCAATTGAAGATGTCCAGATAGTAACCTCAAATATGAACTGATAGTCGAGTTAATATGCTTATTTTCCTCCCCAGTCATCAATTCTCTATCCAACTCTTTACTTTTATGACTAAACAAATCATTTTTATAGTTCTTAAACCTTTCATCGGCGCTTACAAGTACTTCCAAACCTGTGAAATTTAACAAACAAAACAAGACACATTTGATCAAACAAAGCAAAACATGAACTAAAATAACAATCTTCTCTCAAATGCACCATCCAAAAGCCAAAAAAGAAAAGGGCACACTTTATGCCAAATTAATTTTGCAAAAAAAAAATAAAATTCATGACTAAGCTCTAAACAAAATGCAGCCAAAAATCTCTTTTTCTCGTATTTAGCAACCAGAAGCCAAATAGAAATCACACTATATACCAAATTATCTCCAGAATAAACTAAAAAACTCCACAACCAAAAACCACAAATTCATTTTGCAATTGAAAAGAAAGCCAACTCAATAGTCAAACCCTGATCAAAATGCAGCCCGAATAAACCATCTTTTCTCTCAAACTCGACAATCAAAAACAAAAAAAAAATCACACCTTATACCCAATTATCTAGACAAGCCAGCAGAAAATCATGAGGCAAAAAAAAACACAGCTTCTTTTAATAAAATCAATCTATTGAACAAAACTTACCTATAAACCTGTGAAATTTAAGGCGCAAAACTTAAACTATTTTACATGAAAATGTTTTCTTATTTTTCCCATGTATGTTTCATGTATTTTACAGGAAAAAAAAGTAGCCAAAAACAACCTCAGCTTCTTGTAATAAAATCAATCTATTTAACAAAACTTGCAAGTACCTACAATTTACAAACCTCTGAAATTTTTACAGGCATTTGTCTGGAAAATGTTTTACATGAAAATATTTTCCTGATTTTCCTATGTTTGTTTTTGTCAGCATAAAATTTTACCGTGAATCTTTAAACTTAATTCATTTGTTGTAAAATAATTTCATCTCATGAAGTTAAAATATTTTCTATACATTAATCCACTCACAATATCATCCGATTACAACCACCACCTCATCACAACCACCTCCGCTGCCACCAGCCCACAACAAGAAAAACACACTTCATAACACAATTTCGCGCAAAACAAACATAAAACTATTTCGTAATGAAAAAAAAAGTTAAATATCTAAATCCTAATTAAAAATCAGCCAAAGAAACTCTCTTTTCTCTCATATTCCGTAACCTAAAGCTAAAAAGAAACACACTTTATACGAATTTGCTCGAGAAACAAACAGAAAACATATCAACAAAACAGCCACAGCTTGTTTTAAAAACTAAACCCTAATCAAAATGTAGCCAGAAAACATAAAATTGAGCAAAAAAAAAGAAGAAATTGGCATTTGGCGTGTCAAATTGAAGTAATTAAAGCAAGGAAGTAACAAACCTGAAAGTGCAATGTCAAGTATAGTATCGATGTCAAGATCAGCAGCTTCTTTAGGATCGAATAAAATGGAGGGTCGGGTGATGGGACGTTTTTTGGACTCCAAACCAGTTTGAATCACTGACCGGATTGCTTGTAATTGAGAAGCTACACTTGTCGTCATGCCTGCTTACAAGGAGAGAGTCTTGTTAAGGAGGCGGTCGGCTAAAACCCTAGAAGAAGGTTATGGGTCTTAGGGTTTTAAGCAGTAGCGGACTGGCGGGTTTTGTTAACAGACTGGGGGAGGGATTTAGGGTTTTAGTGTTTGAAGATGGTGGTCAGGCTGTTGGAAATAGTTCTTTCTTGTTACGAACTTTTGATGGTCACACGGCGTCGTTTGTTATTAAAGGCGGCAAACTGGGACCATGGTCCGTCTGACCTGAAGCATGGGTAATAAGAAAGCCCAGCCCAACATAGTTCTGGACTGCTCCCCCATTAGCGATGGTAACTCGGCCTAACCCAGGGGATTCCCATTTTGAAATTTTTTAAAATACATTAAATTTATCATGGGCCATAAAATAGTTACTACTTTTTGAGAAAAGCTGGGCCTATCAGATGCATGAAAAGCCCGAAACCATATGCCCGTCTTTTTAAAAAACTCAAGAAAGAGAAAAGCACTTTACTTTACTGCCGGGTCTCCAACAGTCAAAACAAAAAAGACGTCGTCTTTCTCCCATCCCATCTACTCGAAAATTTGAACTCCAAGGATCCATACAGGCGCTAGCATTGCTGGATCGCTCAAAAAAATGATAAGAAGATGGTTGATTTCAGAACTTAGATCGATGGTTAGAGCTTAAAAAGTGAAAATGGAGTTTACTGAAGCTTATAAGCAGACGGGTCCTTGTTGTTTCTCTCCTAATTCTCGTTACATAGCTGTCGCTGTTGATTACCGTCTCGTGATTCGCGACACACTTTCTTTTAAGGTATTTGCATGACCCTTTTGATTGTTCTGTTTGGTTTTAAGAAATTCGTGGTGAATTCTCGGTTTTGGGTTGTGTTTGGATGCTGAGAAAATTGCAACAAGAAAAGGTTTTGTTGGGTCATCGTCTTTTCTTGTTAGTGTCAGTCCAGCTACCCTTTTTTTCATTTTTCTTTTTCGGTTTAAGAAATTCGTGATGTACATTGTGCAATGAGATGTGTTTTGATGCTGAGAAAATGCTAGAAAATTAGTGTGTGATCTTTTCCTTTTTTCTTTTTAGTGTGTGTCAGTGGTGTAAGATTGAGCGAGAGCGGGGGTGTGGTTTGGTAATATAATGTGGAGTCCTGGTTAGTGAGATTTCATTGTTTGGTTACTGTGAAAAAATGGAAGTTTGTTTCCGATATTGTTTTTTTGTCAGTTTTGTGTAATGGGCTGTGCTTGGATCCTTGGAGATGTGTTTCAAGAACAATAGCTTTTTCTTTCTTTCTTTTTTGTTTTCTTGTTAATATTTTCTTTAAAAAAAAATTGTATCCATTAGAAAGCAACTAAGAAGGAGGTTCAGCCTTGCTACAAAGCCCAGAAATACAAGGAAATAATAGCCCTTTTTCATTTTTTTTGTCTTTTTTATGCTAATAAGTGAGACTTGCACAAGAATACATTAGAGGGACGAGAGCTAACGGTATTAAAAATTCTGGCATTCCTCTCTTTCCATATAAAGTAGATAACCCCACACCAAGCTAGTCTGAGCAAGACTGAAGGAAAGTTTTTCTTTTGCACTATCTTTTTAGCATAATCAAGCTCCTCAGCCCAATCACCTCCCTATCTTTGGATTGTGCACAATTGCAGAATGGAACACCGCACCTCTTTAGTGTATGAACATGCAAAAAACAAAGGGTTTGTCTTCATTCACCTGACTGCAGAGAACACGTAAAGGATAGTCTTTCCCATCTTAACTTGCCTGGCTTTGGTAGATAGTCTATCCAAAATGGCTAAACAAGCAATAGAACTCTGCCTTGGAATATGCAGAGCACTCCACAAAAGATAATACCTGTCAGTTCTACTGTTTTTCAACCTGGATGAGTTCCATAAGCTTCTATAAGTAAATTTTCCCCTGGGAGTTAGCTTCCGATATACCTCTTTATGATTGACCGCAGAAGGAGCAATAGTGTCACAAATAGCACTCTGAATCTTTACCATATAGTCAGACCTTGGGTTAGGCCAATTCCACTGCCCATTTAGGTGTACGGCAGCAATTTTAACATTGGGCAATACCTGTTTCATAATGATTCTTGAGCCACCAAAGAAATGCCCCTTCCCCGTTGCCAATCACATGCCCAGAATGATTTCAAACAACAGGCATGGTTTTCAGAATTCTTCTCCAACTCCAAGAGCTGTCAGCAGGAACACCAATGCTCCAAATACTTTTTCCTTTCAGTAAATGAAACATCACACCAAACAACCCATAAAGAACCAGATTTTAGTAACAAACACCAAATATTTCTAGCAATGCATGTGCTTTTCCGCTCCTTAAACTTTAGGGCAGGAGATTTGATGTTATCATGCGTATGGCTTGTTTAGTTACTCAGAAAATTTGTCAGAGAATTCTTTTGCAACCATGTTAATTATTTTGGTCTTTTTCTGCTCAAGTATTAACTACAGAAGTTTATTAATTGAAGCTATTAAAGATGAGATTTTTGGTGAGATCTTGAATTGTGTTTTATGATTTGCAGGTTGTGCAGTTGTTTTCATGCTTGGATAAAATAAGCCTTGTAGAATGGGCAAATGATTCTGAGTACATCCTTTGTGGTCTGTATAAAAGACCAATGATACAAGCATGGTCATTGACTCAACCTGAATGGACATGCAAGATAGATGAAGGTCCTGCTGGTATTGCTTATGCTAGATGGAGTCCTGACAGCCGTCACATACTTACCACTTCAGATTTTCAGTTGAGGCTAACAGTTTGGTCGCTTTTGAACACAGCATGTATTCATGTCCAAGGACCAAAGCATGGCTCTAAAGGGGTTTCTTTTACTAAAGATGGCAAATTTGCTGCGATTTGTACGAGGCGTGATTGCAAGGATTATGTAAATCTACTGTCGTGTCATACATGGGAGATAATGGGTGCATTTGCTGTTGATACATTGGACTTAGCTGATATAGAGTGGTCACCGGATGATAGTGCTATTGTAATATGGGATTCACCACTTGAATACAAGGTAGCAGTTCGTTTTTTGCTTCATTTACCATGTATCAAGAGTGCTTGACTTTATAAGCATGCAAGGAAGTAAATGTGGGGTGAATTGCACCCTTCCAATTTCTTGGTGACGGTTAGCATTTCATGACTGTACACTGCTAAGCATTGAAAATGTCTGTTGTTATCCATTTTAGGTCTCATGGTTTATGCCTATTTGAAATTACACACGAGCTCCACTTTGTAATATATCTCATGGTTTGCCAGTGCCCAAGACTCCATGTTAACTTTGGCATTTTCTAACATTGTATCCTTATCTATAAGACCTAGAGCTTATGGCTGTTGTAATTCAATACAGGTTCTAATTTATTCCCCAGATGGGAGGTGCCTATCCAAGTACCAAGCATATGAAAGTGGGCTAGGTGTAAAAAGTGTTTCGTGGTCACCTTGCGGCCAATATCTAGCCGTGGGTAGTTATGATCAGATGTTGCGGGTTCTGAATCACCTAACTTGGAAAACATTTGCTGAATTCATGCATCTATCAACCGTTCGTGGTCCTTGTTGTGCTGCTATTTTCAAGGTGACAGGATTTCTTTGTTTATTCATATCATTAGGCACACCGATGATTTAATTGGTTACAACTTACAAGTCTTTTTTGTTAAATGTACAGGAGGTGGATGAGCCATTGCACCTCAATATGTCTGAGTTATGTTTGAGCGATGAATTTCTCCAAGGAAATTCTGGTAAGCGCTAGTATGGAGTATCTCACAGTGAGATGGATATTGCACGACAAATAGAATGCTTGATCTGTAAAATGAATTTGAAAATGTCTTCATGCAACTACGTTATTTCTTTTGAACTACTTTTCGTAGTCAAATTAATAATTCCCCCCTCCTAAAAGATGTTTCAGAAGGACACTTCAGAGTCATGTACGAGGTTACTGAAGTACCTATTAGTTTGCCTTTCCAGAAGCCTCCTGCAGACAAACCGAATCCTAAACAAGGCATTGGTAACGCTCATCTTTCTCATATAGCATATCGATGCAATTAATAGTGCTTGTTTTGAGAGTTCCTTGCAGTGCATTGACATTTGTTTTCCTTTTTGTTAGCATCAAACCAAAATGCACTAACAATACAAGACCTTAATTACAGGTCTTATGTCATGGAGTAAAGACAGCCGATACATTTATACACGTAATGATAGCATGCCCACTGCTCTGTGGATATGGGATATACACCATCTAGAGCTCGCTGCCATCTTGGTGCAGAAGGATCCCATACGTGCAGCAGCATGGGACCCAACATGCCCACGTCTTGTTCTCTGCACTGGTAGCTCTCACTTGTATATGTGGACCCCTTCAGGTGCTTGCTGCGTGAGCAATCCACTACCACAGTTTAACATAAATGATTTGAAATGGAATTCAGATGGAAGCTGTCTTCTCCTCAAAGACAAGGACTCGTTCTGCTGTGCGGCTGTGTCCTTAATGCCAGAATCTAGTGAATATAGTTCAGATGATTGAGACTTATCTCCATCTTTTAGTCCAGATGGCTTGCGAACTTAGCAAAAAAAAAATTACTATAAAAACAGGGCATCAATGTTTAACTATGTATTCTGATTCCCTTTATGTCTGTAACAAGGTATGTTCGTAGGGCTCCCATTTGTGGCTGAGAAATTTTAACAAAAATTGGTTCGCTATTTTAATTTTTTGTAGTGAACTTAGTGTTTTTTTTAATAATCTGCTATTTATTGGAATGTGCCAGCTTCTATTATTTTCTATGTTTGTAGAAGGCAAGTTATCAGGTTGTGCCAGGGTCCTTATCTTGCCTCTGTTTTTATCTTACTAGGGAACTTGAAATTTGAGTGTTTGGGGTTTTGATTATCCTTCTTGAAGTGTATTTTTACTGCATTTCCCTGGTAGGAATTGGTCAGGGAATGTTTTTAATTTCACCCCTGCCTAGCTAGAACTGGTGGAGCAAATTATAACTTGGTCGCTGTAATTTGAAAAAACCAATTAATTAATCTTTGTGGTTTCAGAAATTATTTGTTTAATACCTTTATTTTTCTCAAATATATTTATAGTTTAGTCCTCTTTCGTATTTCTTTTAAATTTATTTTATTTTTAAAAAAATGGAGTAAAGAAAAGAGAACTGAATTAGTGGAGGAGAGTTGATTATGAAATGAGGAATTTTTAAAATAAAA